CGCATTCGCCATTGTTGAAGTTGGGGTCCGCGCCAGCGGCGAGTAGAACTCGCAATACCGCTTCGCCGTCTTCACCATATCGAGCTGCAGATTGTAGTTGGGCATCCACCAAATCACCGGCCACACCTCTTTTTAACAACTGCTCAAAGACGACAGCGCGCTTGCTCAGATCTCGAACCTCGGTGGCAGCCTGGAAGCCGGCCTCCATGATACTTTTGTTCATCTGCCCATCCTGCTTCAAGAGCACGCTCAAGACTTCTGCCGAACCTCCACGGCAGGCCTCAATGATGGCCTGGCCATTGTTCGTTGCGATGCTCGCGCCGTGTGCCATGAGTAAGTCTCCAAGATTAACATCACCGTCTCTGGCTGCTACTAGCAGAGCACTGGATGCAGTTTCTGTTGACACGCCAAGTCTTAACAGATTCTTACACATGTGGTGTCTTGCCGTTCGGTTCTTGACCTCCATAGCCTTGACGACCATGGTACTTCGAGTTTCTAGAGAAGATTGTGATTTCGACAGCAGCAGGTCCATAGTTTCAGGTGATTCCTTTGATATTGACAGTGACAGTGCCTCGCCGTCCGATGTATCAGCAGCCGCTGCCAAGGCATTCTGTAGCGATACGTCCTCAGGGTACGCCGTTATGGCGTGCACCAAGGCTCTGTTGATTTCGAGGGGATGAGCACCAGCATCGACGAGTTTCTTAGTGAGAGTCAGTCTCTCCATAGGATCAGTAATTCGAAGTACATGCGGAAGCGCTGTCCCCAGTGCAGCGGCGGAAAGAGGTGTCTTTGATTCTAGTAGCATATCGGTAATTTTGACATTTGCGCCAATGACGGCATGGCAAAGGGCGGCGGCTTTGTAGGCATTTGGATCTGCACCGCTGTCGAGCAGAATCTTCAATGTCGACAGCGACGCTTTGCTAGTATTCGTCTTTAATAGTGACTGGACCTCGTGCACCAACACCCAGTTCAGATCTTCCTTGTGCTTGGACTTGGATAAGATGGCACGCAGTTTCCAGGCTTTACTGTCTGTGGATGGAAGCGGGGCGAATTCATTGAATGCGCAGGTCACCGTTGTTGAGGATGGTCGGCTGTTTGCAAAGACCATATCCAGGACCTTTGGATCTGGGTTCGAAACCGCCTTCTTTGCTATCGCACCCTCAAGCAGGTTAACGTCGGCGCCTCCTTGTTGCAGCAACAGTCGCAACAGCGACATATCGACGGGCTTTTCGGAAAGGCTTTGTGACAGTGCGGCTGCAATTTCCTGGGCCCCAATTACAGCACCAGCGTTGATCAGCATAGACATCATCTCAAAACGCTCCCTATGGTCTGAAACTTCCATGGCATCCATTACGCGGGCAGCAGCAGTTTGCGGCGATGCTTTATGCAAAAGTGACCCGAGCAATTTGATATCCTTTTGCTTGATAACAGCCGCCAGTCCCGGGCCGTGGCTAAAATTGATGTCGGCGTCATGCTCCAACAGGAGCTTAATCAGGGCATTGTCTCTTTGTGAGGCATCTTCATTGATTGCATCATGCAACGCTGCGTGGAGACAAGGGCCGGACAGTGATCTCTTCAAGAACACCTGGGCCATTCGATAGCGGTCTTTGGGCGACAGCTTCTTCGTCATAGGAAATACGATCGACAAGGTTTCGGCTGTAGGCTGGGCAGAAAGAATTTTATCTGTCATGGCCGCGTCGGCTCGCAACACTGCGGTTCGCAGAGCTTCACCAGATCTATGGTCAACAGAGGCCACCTCATGGCGTGGTATCCCGTTTGAAAGCCGAGTGTGGTTCGAATCCTTAAGGGTAATAGGGGTGGACTCTGGATAGACGGGGTTTAGTAACAAGTCAACGGACTCTATGTCGCCTGCTTCAGCCGCGTCTATGAGCATATCGTCCAACGCAACCCCTTTTGCGCCTTTCCGCAAAAGCAGACTAAGAACCATGACTCGAGTCTCAAACGGCGCTTGCTTCGCAATCAGAGGCACACAACTGGACGCCAAAGCAGGGCTCAACTTGGCTGAATCGGTCAGCAGGGAGCTCACCAATTCCAGCTCACCACGAGCGATCGCTCTCTTCAGCATGGTGGCATCGTTGTATTCTATTGATGCGCCGTATCTCGCCAAGAGACTTGCCATGTCGTAAAACTGTGTTTCGCATGCACTTTCCAGCGCCTGTGACAACGCATTGCCCTGCGCTCCTGCGCACAGAAGCAATTCCGCCATGGCAAGTTTTGTCGCTGGGTCGAGTGATGGGTGCTCGTAAAGATTGTGGAATGCCTCGTCTAGCCCGGGCCCATGTGGCGGGTGGTTTCCCATGATTATCGCCAACGCGATATCTTGTCGTCCCAGCGCAATGGCCAATTTCAAGGCTTCGGCGTGATTGTGGTTGCCATCCGCTGTCGACCTGCTAAGATACAGCACGGTTTCTAGACAAGCCGACCTTGCTGCATCACACATACATGCTGATATCCACGCCGCGTTTGGCCGGCTTTCTGAACGCAATAGCAACCCAACTATGTGCGACTGGCTCTGGACAACACAAGCTTGGCGAAAGGCGTCCTGGCCCTCGGGGGTTTGGGAGGCACAAGCTCCATACCTCAACAGCAACTCGGCAACCCGTGTATTTCCAGTGCGTATAGCCGGAGCCAGTGCCTGATCGATGGAGAATCCGTCAGCGTGCGGGAGTAAGACCTGCAGCATCTCATACTGGTTGCCTTGGACAGCAAGCTTCAGGAATTTTGAGCGATCAACAAAGGTGTCGACACTCTTTCTTCGGCTCAGGATACCGCTCTTTTGCTTTGTTTGATTGCCGCTAAAGTCAACGCCCGCCGCAGACAGTTTCAATATCAGCGCCTCCGCCACACCCGGCGACCCTGAATTGGCTATCCATGAACTGAGCACCTCGAGCACCTCGCGAGGATCCCAGGTCTTGCCCTTTTTCAAATTGTTTGACGAAAACGCTTTACTTAAGCTACTTTGACGCCGAGACTGCGAGAGCTCGGAGGCTCGCCGTTGCATGAGATCCTCGGCTACTTGGTCATCTTTTGGCGTCCAAAATGAAGGCGGGTTGTGGGGTCTCGTGAGAGGTGCCGGAGCTGGAGGTAGGTCGACTCCCCATTCTTGCGAGAGTTGGATAATGCGCCGCTGGCGATCGGTTGGCGTTAGAAACGGCATTGTACACGTAAGGGCCGCATTGGATGTATGATGTACTGGCGGATGATGCGGCCGAGATGATTATGGTTAATGACTATGGACTGACGTTGACGAAGCTCGGAGCTGTCAGATTCGATTGTGCCTGGGTTATCAGACAGGGAAGGAGCGAGTCTTGGCAGAGTCTGAGACAAAGAGCGACGACACGTGCAAGCCAAAGACACCAAGCGATAAAGACTCTTTTGACTGCTTGGCTTGTCGCAAAAATTGCATTGTACGACGAGGGCCGGGTGCCAAAGATATCTGTCCATTTTTCACGCAAAGGAGGCTGTCTTTTCTTTTGTTCTTGGCCCATCAGCTGTTCAACGTCAGTCAACCAACCTGTGTGGCAGCCCTGCAACACACAGCCATCGCTGGCACCCCCTGTCACGATTTCGGTTTGGCCTTGTTTCTCTTCGCAAACGATCCACTCCTCACATTCCCTTGCCCATCTACCCACCAAGTCGCCATTCTTCATGGCTTATTTTGAGAGCCCGGAATCGGACTCGGGGCCCCGCTGGATGCCGTGGCTTGCAAGACTTGATGGCCCCAGCCGTCATCCGGGCCTGTAGTCCCACCTTCGCGTGCCGTCGGGTCTTCAGGCCTCATGCCAAGGGGGCGGAGAGCACAAGGTAGTAGCTACTAATTTTGGATATGCATGGCGCCCCCGGATGAAGTTGGCTTGTTGTTGGTATTTTCCACTCAGACTCGGTGGTGGTCTTGATGATGTGCCTCGCTGACCTTTGGCCAGAAGCCTCATCAGGCACAACTGCCGCGACGACACCAACTATCTCGGGCTCTGTATCCCGCCGACCAAATAAACCCTGCCCTTGCACTTGCGCATTGAATCATCGAAACATGCGTCGGTGCTCTCTGATGCCAAAGCATTTACAACGACATCGCTCATTGGTGATGTGAGTGAGGTGTAGTCGCGGCCTCTGCTGCACAGCCCCAGAGTCCCGCCCCATCGGCGCCATCCACCTCGCCTCTGGTCATGGTGATTGCGGATGTGTTTGCGTGGCCCGACAAGGCTGGTTCGCAGAATCGTTTCCAGATCGAATACTAGAACCTTGGCGCAGATTTATGGTATCCGGCCCACCAGACATTCCATTTGAGCCGTTACCGACGATACACTGAATCCAACCAAGAACACGGGTTATCATGGAGCAAAGTGCCCCAGAAGCCTTGATGGCCCTCGATTGAAAACAGCATCCCGTCGACTGATGCACATTATCTATCTCGGGTGATGACAAATATGTCCCAATACAGCTGCCGGGGCTACATAGTACATCCACTTTGTCCAACATTGAACGGTATGTTTAGTATTTATAGCCGCCCATTCTCTATCGTTTGCTACCCTGTAGACCGTCCAACATTGAACCTTGCAACTCGTTGCTTGCGGCAGACAATTAAACCGTTACTTGCGGCCCGCTGCTAGGTTTGAGTTAATGAATCTTTAATCCATGACAATGTAAAAATAAAAATAAAGGAGGGAAGATCTGGTATTCTGGGGCTATCTGGCGAAGCAGAACAGCCTTTTGTTAGCTCAGCATCAAATAACCACGCCAACACCCGATAGATGGTGATCCTGATACCTACATTAACATGTTCCATCACCGTACCCGTCTTCACGTCAAGATACTCAACACCAACACGGCCTATCACCCACATCCCAAGCGCATCAAGAAATCCAGTTCCGGACCACATATCATTGCTAGATTTGATTGATTGGAGGGAAATCACATAAGACACCATTTTGAATAGACCCCCCCTGCAGAGTGTACGCGTCCCGTATAGCGTCATCACCATGTTTGACGGCCTCATCCCCTTCTCCATCACTACGCAAACCGACCCCCTCGTCACCATCAAAGGTCTTCAAACCTCACCAGAATCACCACTTCCCCCACTCCTGCTCCTCCACGGCTTCCCGCAAACCCGTCACATATGGCATCGCATCGTCCCACACCTCACCACCACGTACAACCTCATCATCCCTGACCTCCGCGGCTATGGCGAATCATCCAAACCGCCCTCGGTAGCGGCCTACGCCAAATCCGCCATGGCAAAGGACATGATATGCCTCATGAACCACCTCGGCCACAAGACCTTCTTCGTCTGCGCACACGACCGCGGCGCCCGGGTCGCCCACAAGCTCCTCGTCGACTATCCCAACCTCGTACGCAAAGCCATACTCCTCGACATTTGCCCCACGCTATCCATGTACCAAGCTACCAGTCAAGAATTTGCGACTGCGTATTTCCACTGGTTCTTCTTGATCCAGCCTGCGCCGCTACCAGAGACGCTGATATCCGCCACGCCGCGCAAGTTTGCAGAGCTGTGCATGGGCGGCAAGGATGGGAAGGGATTACATATTTTCGACAAGGCGTGCTACGAGGAGTATGTGAAGCTGTTTGAGGATGAGGATACGGTGCATGCCATGTGCAACGACTACAGGGCTGCCGCAACAGTGGACCTAGATGAGCAGAGGGCGGATCTAGAGAAGGGACGGTTGATCAATGCTCCTGTGAGGATCATTTGGGGGAAGAAGGGCGTCATAGAGAAGTGTTTTGATGCGATGGCAGAGTGGAGGAAGGTTGTGGGCGAGGGAGTTGTGCTGGATGGGTATAGTGTTGATAGCGGGCATTATATCCCAGAGGAGGCGCCTGACGATGTGGTCAAGGCGGTTTGTGAGTTTTTCGTGTAGGCATCCATGAGAATCGATATCATGATGAGATATATGGCCATGCACTGTGAGTTGGTCTTGCAATTTCCTAGCGTTGTGAGACTTGGTCCGATGAGGGGTGGAAAGAATGAAGGCGTCGAGCACGACTTTCATCCGCCATTGATTAGACTCTGAGCCACCGCCGCCGACAAGGCTCCAGACCAAACTCATGTGCCTCCTCAGCGGTTTCCCAAAATTCAAACGACCAGTGAAGTCATCGGCCAGTCGTGGGATTTGAACCACTTCTGGCCTCAGCTTCCGGTCGGCTCTCGCGGTGTAGGTAGGTCCCAATCCGTCGCCGAAACATGCAAGGCAAAACTCTGAGATGTAGCCAGCGTTGCACATCATGAACCGCATTGGCCTGCTCCATACCCTCCCTCCTATACACATCCATGGACAGCCATCAATTCGGAAATCGAGCTCTGCCCCTCCCTAACAAATGCTTACCAATGGCTTACGGTTCGGTGAAACTAACTCGGGCTTCTGCAAGGCCCCTCCCTGGGTGAAATCCCGTTCTCTCCTAGTATCCTGACACATGGTTTACATAAACAACATAATCCCATGCCTCTTCCCATCTTAAATAGACCTCGACTCGTCCGCGCCTGTCCCATCATCGCAAGCAATTGGTTGCGCCTTGCGTCCCCCGTCTGCCATCAACATCCAGCACCACCAGCACCACCACCAACCAACCCCGCCATCACCTCACCAGTGTCGTCATCCTCGACTTATATTGATACCCGCCATCGCCGACAACTCTCCTCCTTCCCACCTCACCCTTCCGCCCCAACAACCTGCTCATACTCCCAGACCCAGCCCTCCCCAAAACCGCCCAGCATGGCCCCCGTCCCAGCCACCATGAAGGCCATCCAGGTCTCCCAAACCGGCGGCATCGACGTCCTCGACTACAAGGACGTGCCGGTGCCCACCCCCAAGGAGGGCCAGGTCCTCGTCAAGAACGAGTTCGCAGGCGTCAACTTCATCGACACCTACTTCCGCAGTGGCCTGTACAAGCTCGACCTCCCCGTCATCCTCGGCAGCGAGGCCGCCGGCCAAGTCGTCTCGCACCACAAGGACGTGACATCCTTCCCAGTCGGCACCAGAGTCGTGTACATGGACTCGCAGGCCTACGCGCAGTACACGGCCGTCCCGGCGTCCAAGCTCATCGCCATCCCGGCCGGCCTGACGACGGAGCAGGCCGCCGCCGCCTTCCTGCAGGGCCTCACGGCGTGGACCTTCATCCGCGAGGCCGGCAACGTCCAGCCCGGCCAGTGGGCGCTTGTGCACGCCGCCGCCGGCGGTGTCGGCCAGCTGCTCGTCCAGATGCTCAGGAGCCTCGGCGCAAAGGTGATTGGCACGGCCAGCACCCAGGAGAAGTGCGACCTGGCCAAGAAGCTCGGCGCCGAGTGGACGGTGAGCTCTAGGGACGACGTCGTGGCGCGGGTGAATGAGATTACGGGCGGGCACGGCGTGGATGCCATCTTTGACGGCGTGGGCAAGGCCACTTTTGACGCTGACTTGCAAATGATTGCTTTGAAGGGGCATCTGGTGTCTTTTGGCAATGCTGTAAGTGCCGACTTTTTCCTGCCAAAAAAAAAAAAAACAGAGCCACAGCATGATATCATGTTGTGCATCTTCCCCCCTTCTGCCAGTCGGATTCATGGCTAACGTGTTGTGTGACTCTGGCAGTCTGGTCCGGTTCCTGATTTCAGCATCCTTCGCCTCTCAGACAAAAATGTCACGCTTCTGCGACCAAAGGTTCACGGCTATGTTTCCGAGAGGAAGGATCTGGAAAAGTACTCTGCCGAGCTATTTGACAAGCTCATCTCCGGCCAGGTCAAGATTGCCATCCATGACATTTATCCCCTGAAGGAAGTTGGGCGGGCTCACTCTGATCTTGAGAGCCGCAAGACCAAGGGCAAGCTTCTTCTTAGTGTCGAGTAAAGCAACGAGTAGGCAAGACAAAATAGCACAATAGCAAAAAGGAACCGTGTATTAATTGAATTTGAGTTTTATTTTTTAAAAAATATTCACCCATCATCTCCTGCTCAAATGCAGTCTAAACTGGTGTCATCCATCATCATAGCATCCGTCTTGTATAGTCCCATCCATTCCCTCATGTATCCAAAAAAAAAAAACCACAAAAATTTAAGAAGACGGTGTCTTGATAGCAGCCAGGAGCTCAGCCGGGGGCTCCTGACGGTACCCCTCAGGGTTGTTTTTGACCCATCTCCATAGATCCTCACATGCCTTCTCCATGCCAAGCTCCGTCTTCCAATTGAGCTCCTTGTTGGCAAGGGCTGGATTGGCTGTGAGGTCGAGGACATCACCCTGTCGGCGGGCGACTATCTCGTATTTCAGCTGTTCAGGATTCTCTGGCCCAAACACCACGGCGCTGAATGCCTTGATCATCTCAAAAACAGTGCTGCCTCTGCCAGAGCCCAAGTTCCACTCCTTGACACCGGGCTTGTTCTCGCGGAGATATTTGAGGGCAGCCAGGTGGCCGCGGGCAAGGTCGACAACGTGGATGTAGTCACGGATGGCGGTACCATCGCGGGACTTGTAGTCTGAGAATTATTAACAACAAGAATTATAGTGTGGACTTTGCATCGCATGCTTCACGACGTACCATTGCCAAAGACGAGAAGCTTCTCGCGCTTGCCTGTAGCAACCTGGCCCAGAAGCGGCAGCAGGTTGTACGGGACCCCCTGGGGGTCTTCGCCCATGATACCACTCGGGTGCGCGCCGCAGGGGTTGAAGTATCGGAGCAAGGCACCGTTCCACTGCTCGAAAGGCTGGTCGGCCTTCTTCAGCTTGTTCCTCTGGGCATTGACGCAGTCCCTGATGACATCCTCAATCATAGACTTGGTGCGTCCGTAGGTGTTGGTAGGACCGGTAGGGCAATTCTCGGGGATGGGAATCATGTTGGGGAATCGGGTAGCGTCGCCGTAAACGGTAGCCGATGAAGAGAAGACAATGTTGGTGACATTATTTCGCTCCATGGAGCGGAGGAGGGCAATGCTGCCACCAACATTGACGCGGTAGTACTCGAGGGGGATCTCGCCAGACTCGCCGACAGCCTGGAGGTGGTCAGTTGCCGCCATGACGAAACGCAGAGTGGTTCAGTGGCGGTCAGCGCCGCAGGAGATTTTGCTTACCTTGAGAGCCGCAAAATGAATCACGCTATCAATGGAGGGGTGTTTGGCGAAGACATGGTCGAGGGCCTTCTCATCGGTGATGTCGACCTTGTAGAAGACGGGGCGGCGGCCGCAGAGCTTCTCAATGCGGTCAAGGGCGACCTCGGAGGAATTATAAAGGTTGTCGACGATGACGACATCGTAGCCGTTCTCGAGCAACGTCAAGCTGGTGAAAGAGCCAATGTAGCCGGTACCACTGCAGGGTGCGTAGAACAGGTTCAGGTTAGCTGGCCGGTCTTGGACGTGAGGCGGATACCGTGGCATCAAGGGGGTCAATCACACGGCGCCCCGCGATTGCGACTTGACGATGGCAATGCGTTTCTCAGAGTACTCGGCAGAGGCAAATATTGGCGTCTTCGGATTGTGGGGGCTTACCCGGTGACGAGAACAGTTCCAGCAGACATGTTGGCAGATTTATCGACTGTCGGAAGAGGTGAGCGAGGAGTAACGTCTTGACAGGCGGCGAAATTCTGGCGGGGAGCTGAGGGTAGTGATATGCTTGACGAGAAAGTCAATGAGGGGCAGCGCCAGAAAATTGAACGTGGGGGATGCAGCACAAGTGGAGCGACAAATCGAGGGAGGGCTTGGTGGGAGGGAGATAACAAGCACTCGAGGAGCGCGGGTGAAGCTGTTGAAGAGCGACAGGGTGAGTCGGCGCTGGTGAGCTGGGAAGTGTTGTTCTTTTAAAAAAAACATTGACAGCAGGCCGATGTTCAAGAAACAAGTAGAAAGGCGGGAGTAGGACAAATCAGCGTGTGACGGCAGTGTCTATCAAACAAACCCATGCCGCCTCGTAAATTAGCCCAGGGATTAGAGCAAGCAATGGCGGGCGCCACACATGGGCGGGCTTTGCGACCAAAGGTGACATGGATTGACATGACATCTGGAAGGTCCAGTGCTCTGTGCGCTAATAATGGCAACCTGAGCTCCAGCAAACAACAAGCAGCATCAGCCAGATGCTATGGGGACGCTCCTCTTTTCTCCACGCCTCAAGTGCTTGCAATGGCGTCAATTGGTGTGCTATCAAGCCCTTTGTAATATCGCCGTTCGCGGCTGATCGACTATTGGCTGTGCTGAGTGTGATCAGCCACGGGTAACCATGCCTTCATATTCATGGCATTGATGTGAGACGTTGCTAGTGGGGGCGATACGGGCTGGACCTCAAGCTACCAGTCCGTTGCAATATGGATTCCAGTTGAATCTGCTGGTGAAGCCACAGTTTCCACTACGGCTACGGAGCACCTAGATACGAATGCTGACACAACAATTCTTATGGGCCTCGTCCGTATTTTATGATGCAGCCTGCATATTGTATGCACAGCCATGTGAATATAAGTGGTCGACTTTGAATTGACGGGTGGAGAGGTTGTAAATTACTTAAGTACGGAGTAGCTAGGTCAGTACCTACCTCTTAGGTACTTAAGTACCTAGGTAGGTATAAATCTATATAAATCTAGGTACTTACTTAGGTAGGTATAAAACTGCACGTATTAAAGGCGCCATGCTTTGCGTTCGGAGTAGTTGGGGGACTCAATGTTGCCAGTTCAACCGTTGACACCACAAGACTGCTATGTTCCCACATGTGGATCCTGGGTCGGGGATTATCACGTGATATCGCATGCATGGTGTTTGATGCGCCGCTTAAACGTCGGGCGCGACACGCCGCTAGTGTGAAGGCGCGTTGAGACCAACAGGCTTGACGGAACAAAACAACGGTAACAGTCGTGCAGCATCAAATCGGCGCCAGCAAACATATTGGATTTATTTGCTTTTTACCTTTGATAACCAGTATATGTCGCTCACAATATTGGCCCTGCACACAGTGGAAAATCTACAGCAAAACTGCCACTTTTCGTCGGTTCTCTGCTACCCCTTCAAAGTTCACACCATGTCCAGCTGTGACGGAGCCTCACAGCAACATGCCCTTTGTTGAAGACAGCCACTACAAGGATCAGCCTTTCACAGGATCAGCCATCATTCATAGCACCATCAAACGAATCGTCTGTTGAAACAATTGCTCTCGGATGGCACCGAATTAGTTGCGTTGCTATGCCGAGTTGTCGGCGAGCTGTGCTTCTTCACCCAAGCCCTCAACATCAACTCACTTGATCTGCACCTCATCAACGCTATACACGACATACCTCTGAAAAATTCTCAAAACTATTCTAATAACCTCTCAGGAATCGTTTTTTTCAGCAGTCTCACTTCTACTCAATTTCACCACTACGGAGGTCACCATTGCATCTCACTAACTCCAAATGCCCCCTCGTCCAGTTCGTAGACGACCGACGAGGTTCTCCGTCAGAGAACCCGAGACACCATCCAATGCAAACCCGCTCACTTTTCAAAAACCCAACCTACCCCCGCTTCAGGGAACTCCAAGCTCTAGGAGACAGTATTCGTACGGCGCAGAGGTTGAGCCGATGCCATCACGGCCTGGTCATGGTCTGTCAAGAAGCCAAGCTCGAGATATTGGCAGTGCCGTCAGAAACGTGCTCACGGCACCCGGGGTCAATGATGAGGACGAAGAGCAGGATGAAGATGAGCGGGAACAAACTCAAAAACCGCAAAAGCCTAAAAATGCGCAACCAGAACCGGATGAATTAGCCGGGGGCCAACTGTCCCGGCCACCACATCTACCTTCTTGTAGGAAACCCTGTCGCCATGAAGCTATGTGAGTCTAACCGTTTGTAGATCTATCTGGCCCTTCCAACACAGCACTAGCGACACGCTCCTTGCTGTCACTGAGAAATGCCAGGCCTGATGGTAGTGATGGTGATGATGCGCGAAGCTTTGGCATTGAAAGTGAGTTCTACGGTGATGCAACGATAATTTCGACGCCTAGAGCTCTACCACCTCAACGGCCAGAATTACGAGACGAACTGTCAGGAGACTCCGTCTCTACAAATGAGACCCCCTCACGTTCAACAATGAACAAACCGCCTGCTATAATTGGTGAAAACGAAGAAGTAGATCTTGTCAGACAGCCACAGAACGCCTACAAGGGACCAGCAAAATCAACCGTGGGTCCATCTCCATTGCGCGCACCACCTCGCCGGCCACCGCAGCAGTCTGCTCGACAACCGCGATTTGAACAGCAAGAAGAAGAAGAAGAGGAGGAGGAGGAAGAGGAAGAGGAAGAGGAAGAAGAAGAACATGAAGACGAAGAAGAGGAAAACGAACTGGATACTAATGCTACCGATAAGGAGCGGGAGGGAAGTGAAGAAGATGATCTTATTAGACGTCAGGAACCCAGACCTATTCTGCAGACGAATACTCCAGTTCCTGGACGCTCACAGCCAGCACCCCGAGAGAATGTACAGAGAACGCGGATAGGTGGACCGTCGCCTGCACCGCCGCATCCAAGGCCTATACCCAGATTGCTACCTCCTAATACCACCAGGGGCACGCTTGGACCGACTGAGAGTACGGGGCCGGATAAGATGCGGCGTACACAACTGTTGACTGGAGCACCGTTGGAACCCCGTCAACGAAGCAACCGTGAGCATCGAGGTCCGAACTTTGAAGAGAATAGCTCCGAAGATGGCCGTTGGCTTGACAGAGCGACTGCAACTACAACGAGCCTGTTTGCACAGGCCAAGTTCTTAGTGAATAGCAGTCCTTTCGGCTTGGGCAGACGATATCCAACGGATGAAAGCGAAAGGGATGCGGCTATTCAGAGAGATATCACTGAAGCCGAAGCCGAAGTCGCGCGTGAGAGACTGAGGGAGGAGGAAGAGGCTGCCTACCAGCGCAGTTACCAGAGATGGTTGTGGCTAAAGTCTCTTGTGCCGTTCATAGGCAGAGAACAGACTCATACTGAGCTTGATGGCGCAGCTGCTCGAGCGAACAATCGTTGGAGCACATTCGCTCTGATACGCTTCTTGAACCCGATGACGTACGTTCGGGCCATTGGATGGTTGATTCACGCAGTACTGGACTGGATAATGGAACTTGTTTACTTCATCATCCCGGCTGGCGTTTGGGATCAACTGTCGTCAGTCTTTGGATTTCTGCCGCATATACTAGCCGGGGCGTTGGCATTTGTGGCAGCCTTTGCTCTGGCAACTCAACTCGCTGGCTCGACGGACAGTAGTTGGGCCCCCAATGCCATTGAAGCGACATTACGAACGTTTGATGATCTACGATACCGAATTAGTGATCTGATCCCAACTGTAACCTGGCCGAAACGAGACCGCTGGGTAGACCTTGATGACTTATGGGAAGATGACGACTCGTCAAGAGATAAGCTCCAGCATTTTCTTAATCGCATGGAGGAGGAGTTTTTGACATTAAAGCGGTCAGGAAAGATTCATGATGCTTCTCTCAGGAAGCTGGAGAATATCCTTCCCAGCGTCGTCCACATGGAACTGAAAGACGGCAGACCAGTCATTTCGGAAGAGTTTTGGCATGCCTTGCGAGATTTGATCCACGGAGACGGCGGATTCTTAGCTTTTGATAAGGTTGGAAGCGAGTATGTCGTGTCATCCGATCGGCAGTGGAGCGCAATCACCTCGCGACTGCTTCGCGATCCAGCATTTACAACCAAGCTCAACCTTACGGCATTGGGGCTGGAAGATAGGCTGAGCCGCAAGATGGCCACCTTTTGGGACAAGTGGGTTAAAGACAATGATGACAAGATTGCCCATTTGCTTGGAACAGCAGTCGATCAGATCAAGTCTGCTGGATCACAAAGGGAGTTTGAAGACCGCCTGAACAAGATTGTCAGTGAACAGCTGTCTCAACGAGAGGAGAAAGAGGGCCAAACCGGCAAGTTTGTTTCCCGGGAAGAGTTTCTTCGACACTTGAGAAACGAAATTGCCAGTCTATCGTCCCAGCTCAGAGCAGAGCTTGACGATTTGCGGCCGCAAATGGAGAGTTTAGTGCAACAAACCGTCGACCTTGCCACCAAAGATCTCACACACAGCATGAGCCGAGCGGACATCACGGCCCTCGTCAACAATCTCATCGGCAAGGCCCTCGCCGATGTCAACCTCGAAGCCATGGCTCTTGGTAAGATCCACAACCACTGGGAAACCGAACTGCGCAACCAAGTCAATTACTTTGCTGTCGGGTCTGGCGCCAAAGTTGACCCCCGTCTCACATCCGCCACCTGGGATCCTCAAGGCGCGGCCATCGCCCCCCATCAATACAAGCATGGTTGGCGTGGATCAGAAGCCTTCCCGCCCATAGCAGCCCTCGAACCATGGCAAGAAGAGGGCGACTGCTGGTGCGCAGCGCGCTCCGTAAACCACAGGGGTAACCCTCACGGTGCAACACTCTCCGTTCAGCTCCACCACTCCATCATTCCGCAGCACATTGTTGTCGAACACATCCTGCCCGGCGCTACCACCCAGCCCGGTGCTCGGCCGAAATCTATCGAGGTATGGGCCGAGATTCTCGACCCCGAGGCCCGTGAACGAATTCTCGACTTTGGATCGGTCTACTTGCCAGATGATAAGAACGACTGGAACTACACGCCGCCTGATTTCCCGGCGCAATTTGCAAAGATTGCACAATTTGTGTACGAGGGCACGGAGCTGCACGAGGGTGTGCATGTGCACAGGCTGAATAGCGAGTTGCTTGCCCTGGGAGCGCACACGGACCGCGTGATTGTGAGGGCAGTGAGCAATCACGGCGCAGAAAATCATACTTGCTTTTATAGGGTGAGACTCTACGGGTTCAATGTCGAGCTGGATCGTGACGAGGGCGGAAACTCGTATTACTGAGCTGAGGCTGCTCGGCGACAAACGGGGGAAGCAATATTCATGAGAATGACAGCATGGTGCGGCGTCATCGCGCTCGGAGTTGGTGGAGTTGCTCTCAGTCACGCACAAGGACCAAGGAGCCTAGCATGGTGTACGGCGCAAGAGTTGGATTATTATTTTTTACGTATTAGCTGTTCTCTGGGGGAATGAAATACCGTGGCTGGCGTACAAAACAGCTTGGTTAGACAATATCACGATGCATTCACATTTTCTGCACATTCCACTGTCCAAGGCGGGCGAAATAACCCCAGTGCCTTTTTAATTCCTCGTACATGGTTTTGCGCCGGGTATATACATTCAGCCATCCAACAACCCTGTCGCCAGGGCCTCCAGATCCTCCAACGTCTCCGGCTCCTCTGTAACCTGTAATACTTTGCCCTTCCTCCTGCTCTTCTTCTTGTTGTCGGCATCATCGTCGTCCTCATCCTCAAACCACTTCTTGGCCTTCTTCTTCGGCGGCTCGCCGTCTGATTGCTCACCCGCCGTGGGCAACGACCTCAACAACGCCAAAGGATCCTCTCCATCGGGCGCATCAACCAGCATAGGCGCCTCGTCACCTTCCAGCTCCTCGCGCTCTCTGGCCTTTCGCTTCTCGCGCTTCTCGCGTTTCTTCTGCTTGGCGAGCTGCTTATCATCGACATCGGCTGCCTTGACTCTTGCGGACTCGCTCTCCACAAACGTCTGGCGCTGTTCATCTGCAGGACCCGCTCGTTTGAAGTCTTCTTCATTCTGCAGCTCGTAAATCTCGTGCGACTCGCCGTCATCGTCAAAGACGAGCTTGGTGGGATTGCCCCTGAACTTGAGCATTTTCGTCTTGGATTGAAGAGCCTTTTCGCGACGCTTAGAATCAATAACGTAGGGTTCGTCGCCGCCAAGGCTGTAGAGCGCTTTGACATTAGAATTGTGACCCTTTTGGATTTCGGCGTCGAGATCGTCGTCGCTGAGGCGACGCTTGACGGAAAGAAAGTCGTCGTCGGAGCCGGATTCGTTTCCACCGTCCACGACGAGTTTTGCGTAGTGGCTGGAGAGGACGTCCTGGTTGGTTCTCTCAAACATTTTGTCGTATTTGGTGCGGACTTCTGGTTTCTTCTTGTCCTTCTTTTTGGTCTTGCCATATTCGCCGTCGAGGTCCATGTCTGACTCGGACCCGCTGGACATGCCGTCCCTAGGAGCATTTTTAATCTTCTTGATGTCGCCGCCTTTGTGGAATTTGATCTGCGGAGTACCAGGGAGGCCGAGACCGGACGCGAAAGCGTCAAGATCTAGTTTGTCGAGTTTGAAAACTTCCTTGTCCCTTTGGAGGTGTATTGCGCGGGAGTAGCTGATGAAGGCCTTTTGGCCGAGGTACTTCAGGTCTGGGTTTTGGAAGCACATGTTTTGCAGATCATTCTTTATGCTCTTCTTCTTTTTTTCCTTGACGTTGACTTTTTCGATGGGGATCTTTTTCTGTTCTAAGCGCTTGACCATGCCTGGTTCTTCGCTGGGATCGAGGAACAGGACAGCTCGGCCCTTGCTTTGGTACCTTGCCGTTCGACCGACACGATGGATGTATGTGTCAACGTCTTCGGGGCAATCTACCTGAATGACCCAGTCGACGGCTGGGAAGTCGATACCTCGGGCAACTACGTCCGTGGCGAATAGGCATGAATGCTTGGCAGCGGTGAACCGTGATGTGATTTCAAGGCGGGCTACTTGCCTTTGTCGGCCGTGAAGATGTAGCAAAGGGATACCGGGTTGGAGGTGGCGGAAGCTTTCGTAAACAAATCGAACCTGCTTTCCTGAACTTAAAAAGACAATGATTTTGCTCTTGAGGTTTGATTTGATGAAACCGTATAGTGTGTCGAGCTTTTCGGGCAAAGGAGTCGTAATGTAATGTTGCTGGAGGTTTGTGGGGGTCGCGCTCGTAGCCGCTTCATGGACTGATACGTACTCGGGTTCCTTGAGACTCAGTCTAGCCAGGTCGGAGACTTTCTTGCTTTGCGTTGCGCTAAACATGAGCGTTTGTCTTGACTTTGGCAGGTGCTCTACCAGCGCATCAACAGCAGATTGAAACCCCATGTCCATAATGCGATCCGCCTCATCCAGAACCAAAATTTGCAGGTTGTTTGCGTCGAAACCCGCAGTCTGGTCGAGGTGTTGCAGCATTCGTCCAGGTGTGCAAACCAGAATGTTCATCCGAGCTAACCGCTCTGCTTCCTCCTTCAAGTTCTTGCCGCCAATGACCAACCCCGCCGATAAGACATGGTACCGACCAATCTTGCGAAGAACCTCGAAAATCTGCACGGCGAGCTCACGAGTTGGGGAGATGATCAAGGCTCCAAGGCCGTCAAACTCTGTCCATTGTGCCCGATACAACTTTTCCAGCACGGGAATTAAAAATGCCAGAGTCTTGCCACTACCTGTCTTAGCAGCGCCTAGCACGTCGTTGTCTTTGAGGGCGAGGGGAATCGCTTGCTGTTGAACTTCGGTGAGTGTCTGAAAGTGCGATGCCTTGATTCCGCCGATTGTAGGCTGCGAGAGGGGAAGGTCTGAGAAAGTTTTGATATCTTCAGATTTGGCATCCTAGAGGAGCAAAATGGCCTTTGTTAGTGCACAAAATACAGCTTTGTCACGGCTGATGTTGGAGATGTCAACCCACCAGATCATTCACAGCCCGTTCTAGCTTCTGCAGATCCTCTTGGTGGAGCTTCTGCTTCTGCTGGCGAGAGTCCGGTTTGGCATGTCTTTGCGTCTTTTGATGCCGGCCTGGTGTAAGGGTAGCCATGGTCATGGGCCGCGCAAACTGCAAATTGTACCGTGGGATGGAGGGCTGGTTGAAGCATCACATTGCCAGAGAAAGGATGCCGATGAAAAAAAAAAGTCTTATCGATAAGATGATCTCAGCCTTGGCGTCTACGGAGTGCTCAGTGCCCAGTAGGCAGAGGAGGTGGGGCTGGTGTACATTACTCTGTAGTACTAGAGTGCCAATGGTCGCTTATGGTTCACATTAACTTCAAAATGCAACTGTCCATGACGCCCAGGTTTCCGAGTTCTTAAGAACTAGCATTATAAAGCTGCCATTATATTCATCATGCATGGAAAGATTCAGCTTATTGGGCTCACGGCATATATACATACTCTCTCTGGTGGCAAGTGGGTCAAAGTGGCCAGTGTCAACGGCCCTACACTTAAAAAATACAATACATGCGATACTGGACTAGATATGATCAAATACCACGTATGCTAATTGAGGGACGATTTGACTTTTGTCAGGTTTGCGCTCTCGGGTTTACGATACCACTATCACCATCATCACGATACGGCCAGCCAACCAAACTAGGAAGGCACGTGCATCATGAAACAACATGGTCCTTCCTCAGGCTGTAAATTTCCACAACGATAGAAAAAAGGACCGTGACATTTCGATTTTCTCCACAGATTCCAAAATCACATCAAACATCAAGCCAGAAAAGGCTGACACTTATGCCTGCTCCCGTCAATCAGCATTATTAATATTGGCATGAACAACCGCACAAGCTTACAATGGTGCTTTGCGACGTTCCGCACCACAAAAAAAAAGCGCAGCCAACTTGGTCGACCCGCCATGACACCGAATCCTTGTCATTGCGTCCTTGTACTTTACTACGTACGTACATACGTACATGCATACATGGTTCGGTAACTGCTCAAGCCTTGGCCAATTCACGATTGAGTCTTGGTGATGAGCGCAGGGGCACACCTTTCTGCTTGAACGGGGATGAACACAGCCCCATTTCGACTCCATCGCGGCATCCATCAGAGACGGCAACCCCTGACGAACGGCAAGCTCGGCGACTAACACAACGCTGCCACGCTCCAAGCCAAGATGCGGGACTTGAGCCTCTGTCTCCATTGGCTCCATTCTGGCAGCCTTGGCGTTAAATCCGCCGGAAACTACGTCTGTAATACTAGTACTTGAAAGTCGAGAGAGTAGGGGCTGTGCCGACAACACAGACTTGCATGTCAACGGGAAGCGGGCCAGGAGCGCCATGATGAGTCTCCAAGGCTAGGGCAATGCCGGTGTCCGAAGCATCTCGTGCTTTTTGACAAAATTTCGGGCTGGTCCACTCAACTGCCCTGGAGACCAGGGGGCGCACCACGTTGGGCTTGGCCGCTGTCTGCGTACAGGATGCACATCTACTCATGCACGATGGCAGCATGACAGCCCCAAACTGGCTACCAACGTACGGCTCGCAGTGGCGGAGTTGGCGGGGTCGGCATCAGCTTGTCCGGAGTACTACTACATGTTCCTGTGTCGTCTTGAAAGCAAACACAACTACTCCGTACTCCGTACAAAATGAGGCGCTCGGATGCAGCGCCGTCAGTCACTTCGCCTCATTAGCCAAGCGAAAGAAGTCAACCCCACAGGCACAAGGGAATGTGCCACTTGGACCCAAACCGAAGCGCCCAAAATGTCATCAGAGTGACACTGACCAGGTCTGCTGTCTGGCAGGCTGAACCTGGCCTGGTTCCTCAACGAATTGCCGTACATGGAACGGAGTAAGGAGTAGGTTACTTGATTACTCCATTGTGTTCAATTGGTGGCGCTCGATCAGAATAATCTGACCCAATCCACGGGGATGCCCCTTGATTTACGTCCTTATATTCTGTGACATCAGCCCCAGTGGTTAGTCTCCAACGTTTTCACAGCATTTCGTTGCACTGAGCTCGCGAGTTCTGTCCCATAGAAACTCGTTAGGGCAATATCCTTTATAAATCAAGGACCAATTACGCCTCAGCACTAGTTCCCTCGGTCGACTGAAGTCGAGTGTGTTTGTGTGTAGCGCCACAGTCGAGACTCGACACCACGAGGGCCGGTGGCAGCCTCTTGTCTAGCCCGTCTGCACGAGATTGCCCGGCTCTTTGAAATTTGGCACTATCTTGTTGATTTATCAGTTTCCGGATCTTTACACGCTTGAACCTTTTATTCTCTCGTTTCTCAAATACACAACCGACGGCTGTGAGTCCTGACCCATGCTCTGAACATGGCAGACAGCCTCAGCCCCGTGCCCCAAGGCGACCGGCCCATCCTGGAACGTCGCCGGTCCAAGAACCCGTTAAGGAATATGATGCAACACCTCACGGTAGAACCACCCGACGATGATGATGGGTCACCACGCCGAGAATCTCTCATCCGACGCCTGAGCTGGCGCAAAAGTCGGAGTCCTTCAGCACACTCCGATACGTCCACTCCCACCTCTGCAACCGTCCGTAATGTTGACCGAGCCTTATGCACATCTTGCTCAAGTCTAGCTGTTGATATAGAGTCCCTCTTTGATGAAGTTGACTCTTCCTTTACAAAAGTCCTCCATCCAGGCGCCGTGGACGCCTTTGACAAGAAGGAGTACTTCATCTCGCGGCTTCGAGGGCTCGAAGAGGACAAATGGTCGACAACGTGCCCATTGTGCAGACTCTTTTGGTCAGTCCATGTACCGGGCGATGGGGAAGGTGATTATAGCTTGTCTGCGTTTTCAAGTCGAGACACCAATTATCTCATCGACCCTATCAAAATGTTCGACATGGACCACCAAGCGAGGGCCAAGGCGAGAGGCTGGGCCCCTGGCTACCTGGCAGTTACACCAAAGAAGACTGGTTCTGGTGCAAAAAGCTGGGAGCCCCAGCCGGATTGGTTTCGAGAAGGAGGAATGCTATATAGGACGCTCCCGCCAGCGTCCCTGGAGCCATTCTCTGCGCGAGGGCGAGTGAGAACTAATGAGAGGAGTACGCCAGAGCCACCGGCCCTGCTGACAGACTCGGCTTCGCTCCAGAAAGGAATTTGGGGAAGGGAAATCGGTCAATCAGCGGATATGTCTATTGCTCGTAACTGGTTGCAATTTTGCGACAGACATCACCAAGGACGATGTGGGCGTCGCCAGGTCGCACGAGAACTTGCGGGATTCAGACTCATTGACTGCACTCGATCCCCACCACAGGCGGTCGAGCGGCCGCTGAGTGAAGACTATGTTGCTCTGAGTTATGTATCTGGGAGCAACGTGACAGACCCCTGGCCAAAAGCAATACGGGACGCTGTTGCGGTGACTCGAGAGCTTGGATTTCGCTATTTGTGGGTTGATCGCTTTTGCATCGATCCAACCAGGTTGCAGGAAAGAATGCATCAAATTAGCCGCATGGATGAAATATTTGAAGGGGCTGCGGTGACCATTATCGCTGCTCATGGCAAGGACTCCATGCAAGGTCTGCCCGGCGTGGGCTCGACTACAAGGCTTGAGCAGCCCAAGTACAAATTTACCGACGGAAATGTCACCCTTGTTTCCAGCATGCGAGATCCTCGGCTTGAAATAAAGGAATCGGTTTGGTATACACGCGGCTGGACTTATCAGGAAGGCCTGATAGCGAGGCGGCGCCTTGTATTTACAGGACAGCAGATGTACTGGGAGTGCGAGGGCATGTCATGCCCGGAAACCCTCGTCCTGCCACTTGCCGCGTACTATGACAGAGAGCAAGAAAAGATGTGCGATTTTGTACGGCCAGGCTTATTCAACGGGTTGTCTTACATTGATGGTAGCTGGGAAGTTTGGAAGAAGCTGCCGCAAAGCATGGAAGAGCCCAGCACCCTCAGCATTTTCCGAACCTGGGATCAGCATATTATTGAGTACACCAAGCGTCAGCTTACGTACGATGAAGACTCACTGAGTGCTTTCATGGGAATTACGAGACGCCTGGAGAAGACTCTTGGAAAGGACAAGCTCGGGAGCATTGTTGGGATCCCCCTATGGTGCCCAATCACCGATAACACGACGCGTCCCGGGCCGGCTCGAACCAAGCTCCTGTTTGCCTTGACGACTAGCTTTTGGCATCACAAGGGAGATGAACAGCCGCAGAGAAGACGCCATTTGCCCAGCTGGACATGGGCTGGCTGGCGAGGGGCAGTGCAACTATACTCATCCATTATCGTGATTGAGCAAGACGGCACAAGCAAAGAAAAGAAGCTTTTGAACCACCACTATGTGAGCGCCACGCAGTTGACTAGGAACGATTCTTCATCTGTGAAATGGGCATACTCGCCAGAGATGGCGGTCCTTGGCTCCAACGGTCAGGTTGTTTACGACTTCTCTGCCGCGAGTGGAGCTCCTACATTTCCGCCGGGCCGCTATCTGCTGCGCATTACCAACCCGTTGGTTCTCGATAAAGTCAAGGCACGGGTCCACAACGGCGGGTGGATATTTAACGATGTTTGTGTCGATGTACGACTCAGTCGCGGCCGGGGCACGGAACCGAGCGCAACTGCACCCTTGGCATCCGGCGTCAATAAGCCCAGTGCAATTCGAGAATACCTAGAGCATCATGCTCGCGGTGAGCAAATGACAGTGCTGTGGTTTGTCGAAGAAGCCACCATTTTGCTCTTGGTTATTGAGAAGACTGAATCCGGATCCTGGGAACGTGTTGGAAGGGCACGAATGGGGTTCGGTGAAGACGCAAAGGACGTGGTGCGATGGTTTGGCAGCTTGGAAGTTTTGATTAATCACCTCCCCCTACGTCGACTCGGATCCGACATTTTGATAGAGTAGACAATGTCCATTCTGGTCTTGCACGGTTGAGTATCAAGAGCCCTGGATAGTGACACATTGCAACTGGGAGTTTCAGGAGGGACATTGCTAGGCAAAGCATTTATGTTGGCAAGGCGCTTGGGTCACCATTGGAAGCCGGAGAGGCGGAACAGAAGATTGAGCCATGAATGACAGCTGAAGAGGAACAGGAACCTCATGTCGGCGAATCAAGTCGGCCTGCACATCCAACCGTTGTGTATGGAATACGTAGTTAGCATTGTAAAATATTTGTAATCATAATACCATAGCATATTTTTCGACTTGTATATTCTGTCCTGCTTCCTTCCCAAAACGGTACCACCAACAAGCACTCCTTCCATCTCCGTGCGATCGAGGCGATGGTGTCAATTACCATCACAACGCCAGCGACGAGCGACAACAGAGAACCCTGAAACCCCAGGCTACAGACCATGCGGTGAGACATTTGCGCCTTCAATCAAAGCCTCCCATGGCCATATCGGCCTTCGGGGCGCGACGGAGGGCGGGAAGCGGAAATGTCCATCCCCACACCACCTTTTAGCCCGTCTGACGGACCTTTGCAAATCTCCGTCAGTCCCAGCGTTTGTTAGAGAAAAAAAAAAGTGAGGTCAGCAAAATCAGAGCCTCACCAACTCCCACCTCTTTCCGCCCTCTTCCATCCTGAAACGGTCTGCAATCGTCGTCTACCCTGGCCATTGTCGATACAGCAGCTTCATTCCTCAACGGATATAACCGCCATGACAGCTGATCTTGCCCCCGCAGCGTCCGCCACATCCGGCACTTCCGTGCCAGCCACGCGGGTAAAATCGTCCGCATCGACGACGAGCCAGTTTGGATATCCGCGCGGACACTTGGGACACCTGAGCGGGCATGAGGCCGAGGCATTGGACCAGTTCAAGAATCTTTTGGAGGAGAGGGGCGCTTGGAAGAGAGAACCTGCCAGTCACGACGACCAGACGTTGCTGTAAGTACTAATCTTGCGCCGTTGAGCCGTCCACCGGGATGGATACGTCTAGGGGGCTCTAAACGGTCAATGACGTTTTTTGCTTGGCCGTGCTAATTTTTCTCTTTCTCCCCTCTTGTAGTCGCTATTTACGTGCGCGTCGCTGGGTAGTGGAGGATGCTTACAAGCAGTTCAAAGACACGGAGGACTGGAGGAGCGCGAATCACATCGACACGCTGTATCGCACCATTGAGCTGGATGCGTACGAGCAAAGCAGACGACTGGTTGGTTTCCCCCCCCCCGTGCAACTTGACGCTCCACAGAAGCCGGCAACAAAAACTAACATTGAAATCCTGCGGGCCTCCAGTATCCGCAATGGACGGGTCGTCGCGATCGTCGCGGAATCCCCCTCTACGTGTTTGAAATCAAGAACCTCGACTCCAAAACCGTCTCCGAATACGAGCGAGTCGGCGCCAAGTCCACCTTCTCCGACGCCCAGACCGATGGCAAGACAAGCCCCGGGCTGCTGCGCCTGTTCGCGCTGTACGAGAACCTGACGCGCTTCAGCCAGCCGTTTTGCACGCAGCTCACGGACCGAGAGTTCCCCGACGTGCCCATCACCATGAGCACCAACATTGTGGACGTCTCGGGCGTCGGGCTGAAGCAGTTCTGGAACCTCAAGGGCCACATGCAGGCGGCCAGCCAGCTCGCCACGGCGCACTACCCCGAGACGCTGGACCGCATCTTCATCATCGGCGCGCCCTTCTTCTTCAGCACCGTATGGGGCTGGATCAAGCGCTGGTTCGACCCCATCACGGTGTCGAAAATCTTTGTCCTGAGCCCGCACGAGGTCAGGCCCACGCTCGAGGCGTTCATCGAGCCGCGCAACATTCCCAAAAAGTACGGCGGCGAGCTGGACTTTTCCTTTGGGCAGCTGAGCGTGCCGGATCCGAGCTGGGAGGGGGTCGTCGCGTGGGAGAATGGGTATTCGTCGTTCCCGAGCGGCCCCCTGCTGTGGGAGGACGTCGACGACGGCAAGAGGGCGGCGTGCGTCGCGCTGGGCAAAGACAAGGGCGCGCCTAGGAATGTGCGCATCTGCACGGTGCCAAAGACGTGGCCGGCCGAGGAGGACGCGCAGACGCAGACCGACGGGCAGGGGGTGACGGCGGAGGGGACCCAGACGAATGGCGAGGTGTCGGAGGGCACGCAGACGGCTGACGAGACGAGAGACGACGGCGCGCAGACTGAGGAGGCGGACGGGATTACGAATGGCGAGATTGTGGAGAAGTTGAAGCTGACGGAGGACAAGACGGCTGCTGCGCAGGTTGAGGTTGCGCCGGCTGCTGCTGCTTAGACGGACCGCTTGGATGATTTTTGTGTATTTGCCTGCCTGGAATAGACGCATGTATGCATACTGGGTATACGATGAGTTGGAACATGATGTAGTGGGATAAAAGGGGGGAAGGGGGGGCTGGGTTGTTAGGCACGGGTTATCTTGTCTTTTTTATTCCTGGATGTTGGTCATTGGACCGTTTTGAAAACAATTCTCAAGCGCATATTCTAGCAATACCCATAGGCGCAGTGTAAAGTCTATATATATTACGATTCGCAACATGTTTCCGTGGTGTGCCTCTATTCTATGCAATGTATCTTGACCACTGTGACGGTCCTCCAGTCAGGCACCTTGAACATTCGACCTCCTCTCCATAAGTCAACCTCGCTTCATCGTCCAATGTCAAATGTCAAACACTGCCTTTTCGAACGCTCCTCCTCCTCCGCCAGTCGTCCACGCCCTTCTCAATCTCGGCCCAGCACACCCCGTCCCTGACCAACCTCATGGTAATCCCCAGCCGCTCCGTCTCCTGGTTCCTGCTCTCGTCGTCAAAGAACAAAATGTCCTCGAAGTCGACGCCCGCCCTCCGCTGCAGCAGCTCAATGTGGCGGATCTTGCTGCCGGGGTATATCTCCAGCCCGGCGTCGAAGGCGTCCAGGGCCCGGCGGGGCCGCGCGTCTCCCTCCTGCGCCGGCGGCAGGTGCAGCATCTTCAGGAGGTCCCTGGCCAGGGCGGGCGCGTGGGTTCGCGACGCGACGCCGAGCTTGACGGGCGAGCCGGCGCGGGGGAGGAGCTGCAGGATCTGGGGGACGTCGGGGTAGAAGGTGTACTCTTCGCCGTGGCGATCTGTGGCGAGGGAGTGCGCGGCGTTGGGCTTGAGCGGGGGCGTGACGTGGGTGTCTACCCAGAAGGGCCAGAGGGTGTAGTCGAGGTCGAAGACGATGAGCTTGGGGAGTGGGAGGGTTGGGTCTGTCAGTGACGGGGGGATCTGGGGGGCGGGCGATGCGGTGAGGGTCGGGGAGGCGGATGTGAGGGACGGTTGCTTGGAGAGTTTGCGTGGCATTTTCGGCTGCGGGTTGGTGGGAGGCCGAGGGATATGTCAAGTTGGCGAGGGATGTGCGTGGCGTGGGCTTTGGTGTTGAGGGGTGCCATCAAATGCATCTATGGATGACGCAGGCGGGAGGTGAATTGACATTTGGTGCCTGACATGGCGAGCGCCACGGGGATGAATTGATGCATGTGGTGTCAATACGGAACAGTGGGGGCCTCAATGCCGTCTTGTTGGGTGAGTACCTGGCCGACATTAATTTTTGACGGGCAGTTTTGCGGTGCGCATCCGGCTGCGATGCCATGGTGCCGGGTTGGCGATACTTGGAGCCGTGAGTTGGAGGAATTTGGGGCAACGCGGCGTGGAATGATGTACTTGGTCATTGATAGAAATGACAGGCAATGCACGCATCACAGGTTTTGGGGCCAGCTATTTGCCGGGTTGGGTCTGGTAGATGAATGAGGACAAGAGAGGATATAACAATCCTTGTCTGTTTTTCAGCTTCAGTCACTTTTCCCACGGATGCTTTGGGCCAGCGACGAACTAATATACATATATGCAGAGACAAACCAGAGTTTTTAGCAACATTCTTCCACCCGCGAAATACGAGCCCGAGAGCCTGCGAATGCCGAATCCTGCAGCAGCCGGTGGATCCATGAATTCAATGTTCCTACAGCACGTGGCCGACAAGTCGACAACTTGACCCTGATGCCTCGCCTTGCGTATTATTACGTGCAAGGGCTGGTATAGGGCCCTCATATCAAGGGTCATCGACTCACAGAAACGATAGAATAGGACGAATGGGGGAGCAAAAAACTTTGACAACCTTGAATCGCTCCATGCCCGAGGAGGCAGATGTTGCAGATGTTGGAGATTGTGAAATGCCGGCCTCGATACGGAGTAGATGGAGTCGCTTCTTGACGTAACCGCGTTCCATAACCATGGCAGGCAGCGTCATCAAGCCGATGAAAGTGGTGCCAGGCACGTATCCACACGTAGCCTCCTGAGTCCTAGCCAAGTTGAACCCGTCATCCATCTCTGGTGTTTTCAAGCCGGTCCTATTCCGTCCTGTGCTCCTCGTCATCTTTTCCTCTCCTGCACACCATCCTCACCCACGTACATACACCGCACGCAATAACACGCCTCGACAGCCGCCATGGGTCTCACCGTCCACCACCTCGGCGTCTCGCAGTCCGAACGGATCCCCTTTCTCTGCGAGGAACTAGGCGTCGAGTACACCCTCAAGCTCTACAAGCGGGCGCCCACGCTCGCCCCGGACGAGTACAAGGCCCTCCATCCGCAGGGCACCGCGCCCGTCATCCAGGACGGCGACGTGACGCTCGCAGAGAGCGGCGCCTGCATGGAATACATCAGCCGCAGGTTCGCCAGCGGCAAGCTCTTCGTCGAGCCCTCCGACCCGGCGTACGCAGACTTCATCTACTGGTGGCACTGGGCCAACGGGACCTTCCAACCGACCGTGGGCAGGGTCATGATGGCGCGGGCTGCCGGCATGGCTGGCGATCACTGGCTTGTCGCCCTGGGCCAGAGCCGACTAGAGGCCGCGCTGGGCGAGTTGAACAAGCGCCTCGGGAGTCACAAGTGGCTTGCGGGCGAGCAGTTTTCTGCGGCCGATGTCATGCTCATGTTTTCGTTGACGACGATGAGGTACTGGGCGCCGTATAGTCTGGACGGGTACCCCGGCATATTGGGGTATATTGAGCGCGTGAGCAGGCGGGAGGCCTATCAGAGGGCCATGAAGAAGTCGGATCCGGACATGGAGCTGGTCTTGGGGGCGGAGGCGCCGGCGTCGATTGTTTGAAGGGGTACTTGGTTGGAGGAATTAAAGGCCCATGAGGATATGTAGCTTGGGCTGATGTGTTCGCGACTCTATTTACCGCGATTCATGAAACCATTTGCCGCCGATGCTAGTTGGGCTTGAAGTGAATATGGAAGCCAGCGTAGCACGACCTTGATGGATGTGGAGTGACCGTTGGCCAGACGGGTTGGAGAAGTGTTTTGTGCTGTGTCTGGATGACCAACCCGTCCAACTACTCTGTACATCTGTGCTCGGTAGCAACATGACTGAGTAGCTGCGTGAAGATATGACGCCATGGCGCTGATGGTAAGCCGAAGCCGAGCCCCAGTCGCCGGCGCCGCCTAATACAGCCATCAATGGCCACAAAAGCCAGTCGGCTGGAAGCGTCTGGTCATTCATCAAATGACCTGCATCAACGCAGCGGGGCCTTGGCCCAGGATGGCCGTGATTCATGCGGGGGCTTGGCGTCGCTGACATATCAGGGTTGATGCATGTCGCGATGCCAGCTTTATCAATCAGCACGCCATCGCATCGACATGCTCGCCTCGCCTCGCCTTGTCCATCTCCATCTCCTGCTCCATCGCCAGAGCGCCAGAACAAAGGAACGACAAGACTGAGACCCTCCCCAAGATGCCCAACCCCTGGGACTACACGTATGCCTCGCCGCTCGCCGGCTTTGAAGATGCGCCTCCGCTGTCCACCGACACAAACGACGACGGGAAGAGCCTCGTGAACCCTCCACGGGACGGACTGAGCGAGGCCTACCGCAGCTTCGCATGGCCCTTGAAGACGGACCGCCGCGGTGGCTTGTGCGTCGGATCCCTCGCTCCCCTGATGTCGACCCGGCGTCTTCCTGTCGCGGCGCGACTGACATGGGCGCAGTGACATACACGTGTATTACTTGCAGCAGAACCCGGAGCAAGCCAAGTACGCACGCGAGCTTTGGGAGCGCATTCGACGCGAGTGTAAGTCAGCACCCTGCACATATACCTATAAGTACTTGGTATGCACGCAACGTCTTGGTCGTGCTGACGGCAAACGCCAAGTCCCTGAGCTGAGAGTGTACAAATTCTGGGATCGCCCCATCGGGCCTCACCCGGTGGCCATGTTCGAGGTCAACGTCTTTACTCCCGCGCAGTTCGGGGCCTTTGTCGCATGGCTCGCCATTTGGCGCGGACCCTTGTCTGCACTTATTCACCCCAACACTACTGTGCACCAAGGTGAGGCGGCCAACGAGGTCGAGTTGCGCGATCACACGGAGCGCGCGATTTGGATGGGCGAGAGGTTGCCGCTGGATTGGGCGCCCTTCAGACCTCAGTCGCACGAGTAAATGGCCGGTGATGTGAGTCGTCTCTGTGCTGTTTATTTTGTGCTAGCACAAATCAGACTGTCATAATGAAGAGGCCTTGGAGCACAAATAATCGTACTAGTTACCCTAATATCTTACGCCATGCATTTGCGCCATTGCTCTGGGCTAGAACCAAGTTCATTATTTCAATCGTGACCCTACGCCGTTATAAATGTCGCCGACTAACACCAAAACAAATTGTGGCATTCATCATACCTCTTCATGCGTCCACATCATTCATTCTCATCGCCCGTCCTTCTTTCCGGGCTTGTCCGGGGTCCCTCAGGTTCAGACTGATTGTTGCGCCGCAGCCAGTACGCGACAAGTGCTAGTATCACTGCAGCTCCCGAAACTGCCGTTGCTACCATCATGTCCGTTCGAAATGCCTCTGCAAATGCCATCTTGACCGACTGGCTTTGTGAACCAGGCGCCTGGGACTCTCGTTTCCCGACAGGCAGCAGGCCTCCCTGTGTCTTGGTCCGGAGTATCGCTGTCGACGCGGCGATTCCCAAACTGCCGCCAAATATACGCAGTTGAGCAAGAATGCCCTGGGCCGGTGCTAGTTACTATCAGCAACAAACAACTCATTGGATAAGTTGATACACGCCGCTACGTACCGTAATGCTTTGGCGCCACCTTGATAGATGCAATCATTGTGCTTGACGACACCGTGAGGCCGAAGCCCATTCCACATAGCGCAATGAACCCCAGCAGCTTCGCGCCATCAAGCTCCTGAGTGGACAGTGTCGTTAACAGTCCACAGCCCAATACCATTAAACACGAGCCTGCTAGTAGTGTTTCCGTGATGACCGGCGTCTTTGAGTTGACTGCGCCACTGACAACGCTGCCCAGAGCAACAGCAACCAGCATTGGCAGCAGCATAACACCGGCCAACAGAGCAGATTTGCCCCCGACAATTTGGATCCTCAGCGGGACAATATAGATCAAGAGCAAGTATGGCAGCCCCAGAAGGAGGGTGTTTATCACCCCAGAGGTATAGACGACGCTGCGAAAGATTCCAAGAGGGAGGACTGGGATGAACCGTCTCGACAGGCGGTATTCAACGCCGTATTCCCAGAGCATCAAGGCGCCCCAGCACACGACGCCCACGACAAGGGGCGCAATGAAGACGGCCGAGCCCCAGCTGTTGCCGTGGGACGCGGTCCCGGGTGTTTGCCCTGCGTTCTGGAAGGAAAAGACGACAAGAACGGCGGCGGCAACGGTGAGAAAAGCTCCAGGCCAGTCCAGTTGTTTCCACGAGTGCCTTTCATGATGCGGGAGGTGTCTCCGATTCGGCCAGCTGAAGACGAACGTGGCCAACGATGCCGCCCCGATGGGACCACTATATCCATGTCAGCGGTAGGTCCCGTGTTCAGCCAGATGACGAGAGACATGCTTGATCCAGAAAACCCATCTCCAGCTCGTGTAGCTTGCCAACAGACCGCCCAGAACCGGGCCCAACACCCCGGACATGGCAACGACCAGGCCAATCATGGCGGCAATATACTGCCTCAAATGAACCGGACTGAGCTCCGACAGCATGACCATGGACAAGGAATACAGCCCCGAGCCGCCTATGCCCTGAAGCGCCCGAAACGCAATGAGCTGATGCAAGGTCCGGGCGAACCCGCATGCCAGCGAGAAGGCCACGAAGACGACGTACGCGACGACAAAGGCGTCCCGGCGCCCGGTGATGTCTGATATGCGAGAGAAGACGACAGAAAAGCCCATGTACGCGAGGGTGTAGGAGAGAGCGACCCAGTTGACGCTGTTGAGGTCGCGGAACTCGGTGCCGACGGCGTAGAGGCATGTGGCGACGATGGACGTGTCCACCATGGAGAGGAAGAGGCCCAGACATACTCTACCATGTATTTGTTTAGCGGCTAGTTCTTTTCGTCGTCGTGGGAAATCACTTTGCTTACCCGACGCATAGGATCCAGAACCGTGCTAGAGGGATTGGCGGCGGCTTGGTGCTCTCCGTCTGGACTGTCGATGTAAAGGAATGGGCAGAAGCTCGTCCTTCATGCCGGCCGTGTTGAGACATGTGCTACGAGAATAAACGGACCAAGGTGAAACAAATAATGTCGAAAAATGAAGTCTTTATTGCTTGTTTTTGTGCCATGTGAAAGCATATCGTGGTCTATCCGGTATAGTAGCATCTTTAAGGGGCGCGGAATAGTCCAGGCCCCCGGGAATAAAAAAAAAGTGATGTGCTTACTCGCCTCGGGCACAAGTCCCGGCAACTTCCAGAAACCTATTCGCAATCGCTTAAGCCTGCCCAATCATGACCAAACACCGACATCGAGCATCTTCACGGTGGAGTGGGGAAGCCCGGCGACAGCTTAATGTTGCGGCTACACAAAGCTTGGGCACCACATCAGCTGAATACTATACATACTGTTGGCTCGTCGACGGCACCTTTGGTCTCACTCTCACTCTCACTCTCACTGTCTTGCTGACAGCTGTGGCTTACTTCGCACTCGCTTAAGAGTGACAGATTCGGGAACATGCGCTAGCAAGGCCAATCGGGTTGGAACTTGGAAGCAGAGGCGGGATCGGGCTGTGCCTTTACGGGACAATTCCATTTCAGGGTAGCGCCATGAGGGGAGCCATGAGGGGAGCATTCAATGTTACGTGAGCGTGTTTTGATATTGTCGTACGGGCAGGGACATGATAGCCGAATGATCTCTGCCTTGGACTTTGTGACTCCACATCGTGGCCATCCTGGTTCTTTATTCTGGTCCTTGAGAGATGAGATGGTGCCGACATGCAGCCTTGGCACCAATGTGAAATTGTACTCCGTACATCCTACAAGGTTACATTGCCCGTGTGCAAGATAAGACACGTTTGATCCCCGACAAAATATCGTGGTTGAGCTTGTCTTGTTGCCGATGGGAGAAAATATTTTGTATCCAAGAGTCCACCAGTCTGTTGACTGAACCCTGAATCTGGTATTCCCGGTACCAACACTAGTTATGGAGAGTTCTGCTTCTTGTTCTTCTCTTTTTTTTTTCTAATATTCGCCAGGTGACGGGCCCGTAGGTGTTACAAAAAGGCCATTTCCGCAAGCTCAGTCTTGCGAGAAGATGTCGAGAAATATACCAAGGCAGCCACACACACACACCAAGGGCTGAACTTGTTACACATGGTCCAGGATCCCTGCTGGGCAATTCTGCAGTGCCAACGATCGCCATCTAGCCCACTGTTCTACCATGAGAGGATGCGCGTCCGGTTTCTGCTCCCGCAGCGTCTGAGTGTCGTGCATCCATGGCTTGCCAGCAGCAGTGAAGTGAATGATGGCCGCTTGGTCATACAAAGCCCGTAGCTGTTCGTCTGTCGCACTGCCATTAGACCTAGGGCCCATCCACAGGGGAATGTTCCAATCTTCCCAGTGACTATTGAGCGTCACATATCTCTCGCTCAATCGATCTCCTCGCTCGGCGAATAGGTCGTTGATAAGGTCCATGTCGTACTTGTCAGGCTCTATACTTGTCGCAGCCGCCTGGACCCTATCCCACATCGGTTTGCCTGGCCTGATCAACATGCAAGTGCTGGTGATCTTGCCATTGCTAATCCAATAAGCGGTTGGAGCCATAAAATCCGTCATTTGAGTGTCGAAAATCTTGTCCAGGTTTTGAAGTATTAGTTGGTCGGCGTCGAGCGCCAGCAATCTCCGGATCGAAGAATCGTATTCGTGCAATTTAAAGGCCGCTAGTTTCAAGAGACATCCCTTGTAGTATGAGACGCTGTTTGCGTGAAGTGGCAGAGGCGTTTCATGGATCATGTTTACGTTTTTCGCCGCCAGGGCGTCTTGCATGGCTCGGGAAACACCACCAGATATAATGGCGAAAATGCGATATCTTGTGCCCATTAAATGCTGGAGGATGTGCGCGTTAACCAACACTGAGCAGGCATAGTCGTCGCTGTCGGCGTAGAAGACATACGCATTATATGCGCTTGGTGTGTCACGCACACGGAGAGTTTGCCAGAAAATGCAGATGATTATGAAAGCAGGAACACACAGCAGTAATAGTTGAATATGAAACTTGGGTCGAGAGCAAAGGACCAGCATTTTTGATATTGACGTCCATGAGGTAGAGAAGGACAGCAACAAACCATGGTGGTGGGATGACTGTATTGTAAAAGTATGCTTGTTCAATACATATATTTCTTTGCACTTCGGCTTGTACGAAGTGAATGACTCGGGATTCTAAAAGCAGCCTATGAACAAGGAATTAATGCCAAGAGGTCGAGTTATTGAGGCATCGTAAGGTGCTGCTCCTCCACTATTTAATGGACGCTGGTTGTACAGTCCATTGACCCCTTGAATTATTCTTCATGCGTGACCTGGCACGGCAGCTGGTAGCAGGGGGTAATGCATTAACTATGGCTTATATATTCTAGGAAATCAGGTGTCAAGAGAGGTTTCATATAAAAGCTTTTTTAATTGGTTATTAGCCCCCTGCCAGGTCACGTATATAGAATGATTCAAGGGTCGGACTGTATGTGGTTGTACGGAGTAAAAGTTGCATAAAGCTCCAAGTTCAGTTGTCGTATTCCGTAATGATTCATGTGTCCTAAATACCGTCTCCAGGCATCGCTGGACACCAGGGTGTTGTGGATAACAGCTTCAGCCTACTGATAGACTATTAATATTGTAGAATTGATGAGATTAAAATTTGCGGAGCAATACGAGATAGCCCGGAAGTATTAGGATTCTCCGCCCGGGGCGAGGATATTGGGACGGGTTTGCCATTATGATTTCCCACGGCTTCACTCTATTTTATTCAATCGTTCAATTTGTCAATTCCGCCAACAGCCAACAAAGTTATTGCCAGGCTTAGATGGTCGGCTTCATGTTGAGGCTCCCGGTTGCCAGAGTGGCCTTATTTGTGGACCCCAGACTTGTCTTGTCGTAGAGGCAAGGGTGGAGCTTGGCATTGATGCGAAAAATATTTGACGTGAGGCGACTGGGTCCGGGTAGCAAGAAAATAAGTTGTTGCAGTCTTGCAGACAGACTATGGTTCTTGGAGGGATGGGTATTCCTGAATAATCCCGCTCGGATAAGGACACCTTGATTTTCTCTCGACATGAGGTCGCATGTTTCCCCTTCAACATGTTGTCTTGTACGTCTGTATACCTCATGCTGCAAGTCAGTACCAGGTTTAGCCAAGAAACCCTTTGTTGCGCTTCATTGTGACCCGTCTGAGATTTCCAACGATTCTCAAGCCAAACCAACCGGCGCCGGCGATACACGTAACGGAACCTGCCGACACCACCACGAAGCCCAAATCCGCTTCGGTAAGCACATTCTGGATGTTCATTCCATAAAATGAAGCCACAAATGTGCCTGTTCCCAGGGCCAGTGTACAGGAGATGAACTTCAAATGCAGAAGCATGAGCGAATTCCGGTTTGTATCTAAAATTGTTTGCACGCTGGCATGCCGTCGTCAGTGTGACTCGAGACTGGGTGTTAATCTGAATTGAACGCTTACATGTCATCCGTATTCTTGATCATTGAGGTCAAACTCTGTGCATCCTGTGCAATTTCATCGCATATAGCGTAGTACGATTCCAACATGGACTCCACCTCAGCAAGGTCCTCAGGCCCATGGACATTCTGAGCGTTGTCCGTTAAATACAAGGCAGAAAGGCTGTCGTTGCTCTCAAGGATGTCATCTAGGACTGTCCGCACAAGTTTTGCCTTGTGTTCAAACGCACTGGCCTGCTTGGACAGCTTCAGTAGCATACGGAGCTTCTGTCGATCGATGTTCTCCTCGAGTTCTGCGAGAAGACTGATGACTGGGGTACGCACAGATTCCAATTCATTCCCTAATTCGATGACAACCGCATTAAGAACTGCATCTAGAACTTCAAACTCATATGGTGGAGGTGCAACTCCATCAGTACGGTCTGGTCGCATCTTGGTTTGAAGGTCTTCGACAAACGAGGCTTGAACGCTTGAGGTGCGTGTGCCGTCCATGTCGAAAAGCAAAACGCGATCTCGTTTAATTAAGACCTTCAGGTATAGGAGATTCAGTAGTATAACTGTAGGCCGTATGTCGATATGGGGCAAGTTTGATGTATCAATCTTGCGCATGTCACGGGGGAGCAGCCCGTACTGACGGCTCAGCTTGTTAGCTTACGGAGTGATTTTGAAGGAGTTGCATGCTCACTCTCGTAACAAGTTCAGTCTTCTTCAGCCTCCCGTTTGCAATCAGTACCTGGCCCATTGGCCCGAATTCCGTACATCTTAATTGTGGCACAAGGCCAGCCTTCCTCGGTTGGTGACTCTGGCGATGCAGCGTTGAGCTTATGCTGCTTCTTTTCTGGTCTCCAGCATCCTGCGGCTGGGATAACCACCTCTGCAGAGTTGAGGATGAACGTGGTCTTTCGGCACCATTGACCCTGGCATGGAACGGCCGAGCCTTGTGACTGTGCCAATCAAGCAGCCTGGCAAGGAAGCAATTGCCACGGCCGTCATGTCGCACGTAATTTTGCGCAAATGGCCGCGTCCCCCGTGGCATTGATGTCGGAATCTGGGCCACATGCATACATTGACATGTAATGGTCGTTGCCTGCAGTAGTAATACCTGAGAAAACTCGAAGAGACGCGACGCGTTCACCTGAATCCACATCCTGCTCCGTCAGCGGAAAAGATGTGGCATGATAAATGACAGCCCCTATCTGATCGCGTCGATATTGATCGTGACGTCCATATTCTGGTACTCTGCTGCCTCTTGGAGCCAACGCAGCTCAATTAATTAGCAGCCCGTATACGAATGCAAGTAGGCCAAGTTTCCGAACCCAATTTGCAGACCGATGTCAGCTCTGGCCTAGGCGTGTTTGTGCAGCCTGGTCAACTTGGCAATCTCTCCGCTGTGGGCCAGTGGAGACGATGCCGACATCTTTTGCCCCCTCGCATCTTCCGGCAAGCCTTTTACCTGTGGCGCGGTTTGATGACGCTGTTGTGGGATTGAATGTGCGAGGTCAGGTAGAAGATCACGTTTGCGAGGAAGGTCAAGCGACTAGACCTAGGTACGTACCTAGGTACTTAAGTAAAGTAGGAAAGTGCCCACAGCTCTTAACACCAACACGGCAGGATCGCGATGATGCAGCAAGATGCGTACTGGCATTAAAACTCCAGCTAAGAGGAGTAATAAAAGGTCATCTAGACTAGTAATAAATTGAAGTTCAAATATTGCTTGTGCCTATGGTAGTGTAGTATTCGTGGACTCATTGAAGAAGCAAAGTTGGAAGGCTTTTCCGCAACAAGGAACCAAAAACACGACATTCCAAGAACTACCCTGCAGCTTCCAAACTTGAGTAGTTTGTCAAACTTCGACAAGGCACGTGTAGTCCTGTAGCATGCGACGTCAGCCTTTTCTCCATACGAAAACGAGATGAAAGGAGGAGTGTCGATCGTTTCCAGCTAACGATGCTGCTGACGGACACGGGCATGGCGCTGCCGCTGTCGCTGTCAAAAAACGGGGGGTGTTACTGCATACCAATATACCAGACGCTTGTCCACCGCTTGAAAAGGCTCAGAGCCAACGGTCAAGTTCGGAAGCATTTGATCCCAGCCAACGATCGGTGTTGCACACAGAGGGGTCCTGATATACCTCTGCGTTGCGGTGCAGCATCCTTGGTTATTATGCGTCTTCTTGCATTTCTTGATTTGCGATTCTTTGCCATTGTCAGTTCCGTGCACAGTACGTACTTCTGCCTGGCCGCACTTGCCCTGCTTGTACGCACTTTCCTTATCGCACACAGATGCCATCCATCACAACAGGGAATAATCAGCTTAGGCTCCCATAACCCCAGCATTTCCCCTCTCGATTGGTTCCCATCATTACTGTCAATATCCTCATCACCTTCGCCAACACGATTCTCTCAAACGTTTCAACAGGTTGTTGTCGAGCATGTCCTCTCCGCCACGCTGGGAGGGAGAGCATTCAGGTCCGCAGCTGGAGTGAGTTCTAAAAAAAGCCCCCCAAGAGCTCTTCCTGCGCTTCTTAAACCGAACTGAACTCGTAGTTTGGTCATTATTTATTCTTTTGCAGTCAAAAATGGCCCCGATGCATGTGTTTTCACCCATCGTGAATGGTTCTTATCCGGTCTAGACGGCTGTCTTCCAGCTTGCGCCACCAAAGTCGCCGTTGAATTTACGTTAGTCCCTGGAACGTCAAAAATCTTGTTTCTCACCATCGGAGCTGATTCTTTGCCTAAGGGCCCCCCGGCTTCGATTATGTGGGCGGGTCATTAGCTGGAAGGAAGCGTCATGAATAATGTAAGATGATTTATACCCATGTCAGACGATTGGGCCTGTGCTTCAAGTGGTTGCAAGCTGTTGCGCTCGCTGCCCTCGATCGAGACAAATGTCGAGACATCGGCTTGTCCGCCAACTCATTCTTGAGCGCGTCACTTCTATTTGGTGACAGCAAAGCCACGAATAATGAAGGGGTTGAAGATATTCCCTGATTACCTTTATCGTGCAACTGCTCACTGTGGGATTGTGAGTCAAGTAGCCCAATGGCTTTCCAAAGAAAGGGGGCATATAATGATTACACTTCTGCGCTCTATCGATGTATTGGCGGTCGCAGTCACCGCGGTTAACGACATATTTCTCGAAACAAGAATTGCACGTCGCTTTTCTGTGAGCTCTTGGAACGCTCTTTTAAACACATGTAGCCCTCAATCAAGTTCAGTCGAACCCTGAGCAGTGGGCACCTTCCATGAATAGCCCCTCCGTCTCACGAATAATTATAGCCGTCGCAAGAAGTCAAAGAGATCATCACCGGGATGGTCAAAAGAGTCACAAGTTTATACCCACCAAGGCATTCTTTTTAGAGCATCTAGAGACTCACGTGCAACAGGTTCCTCGACACATGTCATCGAGAACCCGTGACTTCAAGTCTTGCATCCTCCTTCGCCCCCAGCCCAAGTTTTATTTGATCAGCCATGGTTAAGAAGAACTGTTTTCAGCTGGATACTAACAAACCATGTCTACGCCAAGTGGAAAAACACGAGGTCCCGTAGCACCGAAGCTTTGTAGTCCCGAAGCATCTGACGCTCTCCTGATTTTCTGCCGGGAATAGGAGAACGAGTCCAAGAAAGGGGAGGGAGCTTGTGATTCACTTCACCTTCGATGGCTGCGATAAACACAAACCATTACAGCTTCACATCGGGTTAACCAAGACAACGAGCCCAGCCTAAACTACACAAGTCCGCAATTTGATCAGGGACAACAAATTTTAAGAAGACATATTACGACATTAATTAAATACGGGAACATTCCGGAATCTAGTGCGTTAAATATTTTCCCCCTTCTCCCAACTATCCAGCATGCTGGCTTGCGGTGTAATCCTACTTCAGTCCACGAGACTGGCTTGAATTACCCCTATTGAAGCTTTGCTTTTGCTTGGAACCATCAAACCTCCTGAGCCCTGTTCATCAAATCTTTTAGGCGGGGTCCACGATTCCGAAAGGCGGCTCGCTCGGTCTATTTTTCATTCGGTCCTCTGTTCGCTTCGAGCATTGTATGTCTAGGGGCTGAGCACGGTTGTCCCATGCTTTAAAAAACGCCGAGTTCTCGATAAGCAGACCATAACAAAGGAAGATGGTCTCTAACGACTTTCCCCAATGGCCGATTTCCTCCGGGATGTCCTCGTGATCAGGAAAGCGTTGGGCTCAATCAGCATGCTATTATTTTCCACGCCTGTGGCGAAAAGATTACAGAGCTTATAACCACTGGGGGCTCAACCAGGTCGAGTGAAAGAGAAACGAACTCGCTCAAACAATGCGCCATCTCCTCGAAGACATGGTATCGACACGATTAGGCGTTTGTGCTTGTTGCGAATCAGTATGTACTGTCCTCCATCCCGTGCATCAAAGTCGACGAATCCGATGGCAGTATAATACCTTACTAATAGTCTATATATAGCTTCTGAATGGCAATAGATATCCCTGCCAGATTTGCCAAGACGTTGATTTCTGCCTCGAATGTCATTTACATTGAGAAGAGATTGACGTCTCATCTCACGAATTTGAGAAAATCGGACCCGCATTCGACGAGACGAGCGTGGCTGGGCATGATACACCGGATGAGTACAGAAGATCAGATGCAGAAAGTGTAAGTCCTATTTTCTTTAGCAAGATCTGGTGTCATTTTGGGTTATATTCTCAGGGAGGATAAGAATTGATAGAGCAATAACTCCCCCTTCTTCTCTGTACGTGCACTTGCCAGTTTGTCTTCACTCATATTAATCGGAATTCTTCCAGCTTAGAGGCTACAAGTGTATTCGTTGAATAATAAGTGCTAGCACTTCTGGATTATCATCTTTACCCTTCACGGCATTTTGCCCTGCAGACTTTTATTCCAATTTCCACTGGAGTCCATAGCATTTGGTCATGTGGCCGCGGCCTTTCTCGGTGTCAGTCTGATGCGCATATCATGGCCAGGTTTGACGCCTGCAATGCCCAAGAAAGGACTCCAGTCATCAGCTTGAGGCATGTCCTGGGACCCTCCGGCCATTGATATATCGAAGCGTCTTAGAAGAAGCGCCACAAGGATCATGACAACCCTTTTGGTGATGAAACGACCCGGGCAGATTGTGCTGCCGCCGCCAAAGGGACGAAAATGCTCCAAGCATACCCGCTTGCCTTTCTTCAGTTTAGTATTGAGAAACCGTTCCGGGCGAAAAGTCATGATGTCGTCGCCAAAGATGCCTTTGTCGTGATGGAGCTGACGATATGGAATAATCAGGGGATTGCCAGCTCGCAGCATGCGACCGCCAAGTACTGTATCGGCCGTCACAGTACGCAAAGAGGCCGCGACGCCTGTTAGGCGTAGAGTCTCATTCCACGTCGCATCGAGTTGATGGCAGTGCCGATGGAGATGGACAAGGTTCGTGATGGTGCCTTCGGGCCCGAATGCGCCAGCCGTCTCAGTACGGATTGGGTCGATAAGTGATGGATTAGAAAGAAGGTGGCAAATCAACCAGAATGCAGCTTTTCGAGTGTTCGTATTGGCACTTCATTTCACAATCAGCCATGTTCTGGTCAGAGCCAGGGCGGTGAGGAAGACGTGAAGAACGGAAACAAGACGTACCCCCAGTAAAGAATGAGCGCAATAGAAGCTATGTCTTCGGTTGGAATGCCTATAGCACGCAGCCTATCCTCAGTCGAGTCAAGAGCCCAGCCCTCCGCATCGTTTCGCATCTCCCGTGGAAGGTTATAGAAGGCTTTTAGAGCTGTTCTCAGGTAATCACGCTTCGCAATCGTATCCCGGGCCAGAAAAAAGGGGAATTTATAGAGAAGCTTCCAGCTCAGATCGTCAAACTCCAGAAACTTCTGGGGTAAATCAGGATCAAGGCGGTCAAGGGCGCTGCCAAAGAAGGCCCTCTGAGAGGCTCGCACATTCAGATCCGCACACCAATGCCAAAGAGACATCTCGACAGATCCCGTTTGACTGGGCAGCTCTCCTCCAAGGAAGTCTGGGTATCGATAACGGCTTTCGAGCACAGCATCAGGTCGTACGTGGCACTCCAAGTAAGCAAGCTGGGCGCGCTCGAGTGCGTCGAGTCCGGAGCCTGGCTGCAGTTGCGCGATCTGCAATTCCTTGGCAAGCTTGGCGACTGGCTTACCCTGTGTGTTTTCAGGATCTTTGATCCTCGCTGGTAGTGGTGCGAAGATTTGTTGCACACTTGCCCCAGAGGTTCCCATGCTGATGAATATATGATGGTAGAACTCATCAAAGGTGAATGTACGCGCGTTACGATATATCTCACTCACATCCTCAGCCCGGCTGACAAAGTACACGCTGGCTCCAAACAAGGTGAGCTGCAATGGTTCATTGGTGTTGTGAAAGTGCTGCCTTTTGAGTATCATCAGTCTCTTCGGTTCTTTGAGAACTTTAAGATTCCCTTTATATTTGCTAACCTCGCTGTATTGAACAGTTTCTGCGAGTTGTATATGAATGATAGGCCATGACCTCGAGCTCGTCAGGATGCGAGTCGCATATAATGATGGATAGAATTTGGGTCTTACCAAGAACTGCGAAAAATATGCACGTTAAGACAAACGATATTCACACCATCCCTTGGGACAGTCATTACTTACCAGGTATCCAGTAGGGGTATTCCTTTACCTCCAGAGTAGAAATTCGAGGTGTGATAATGAATCGCCAGCACCACCAAGAAGCCCAGCATACAATAGCAGCAAACCAGACAGCAAAGGAACGTTGTTCCTGAAACCAACTTTGCACGGCTTGCCAGCCATTGCTGACAAGCAGTGCGATTTCCGCCGACATTGCAGCAAACAATGGCGCAAGCAGGCAAGTACCAGGATAATGGAGCGGACAGAGCAGTCTGCTGAGTTAAACTAACATGAAATCAGTTATCTGTTGTGCGGAAATCTCTCACTATTTATGCATTAAAGAATGACCAAGGTCCGATCTGATGAGAGAATTAAAAGGTGATATGCTACCAGACGAAAAGCAGAGCTACTTTTCGAGCCAACTCAGCCTCAATCTTTGAACAGAGGGAAGTCCCAGGTACACAGTGCAAACGACGTGCATATTTCCTGAACCCCATCGGCCGAACTGCATATGTGTTGCATCTCTCGCGTGCGCGCGTCTTGACGAGATGGACTGATGCAGTATGCATGCGAGCCTAGAAAGCAACTCTATTTGTGCGCTTGTGCTGACTCAAAGCATTGGCATGTTGCTTTGAAACCCTTCACTGTGACATTACTGTAATAACTGTCATTTGTCACACTATCTGCAGCAATACGGAAGAGTTCTCAATGTCCGCTGTACACTTGGCTCACAATATTCATTTTTAGCCAACCCATTCCCTGATTCCGGAAGCGATCACGACCCAAGGGTCGCACAGTTCTCCCGGGCCTCTGTCTGCTGTCTGCTGTCTGCGGGAGGCCATGGGCATTCACAGCGCCACGTCAAGCAACAATTCGGTGGGCAATATTAACCTCGTGTCTTTGGAGTCACGGCATGCCTTTTATTGAGACACTGTTGGAGACTGGCAGTATAGTTTGTACGTGTCGACTTCCCTGCAACGCATTACAATTGCCAAAGTAGTCTACAACAGTCAGCATTCGCGCCCTTGGCACAACATTGCGACAAGCAAGGGCGGCAATGACAGATGAGTCACGACTACTCCGTCAGCAGGCATATATTTAAACAACAAAAATATCCCCCCGCCAAAACATGAAGCCAAACACCGCTCGACCGTATATCCTCGCCCACGGACTCGACACTTCCCATGGCCTCTCTCGCCCTCCAATTCCGCGTCGCAGATGCCGCTGATGCCCCGCAGATCCAGCACCTTGTAGAATCCGCCTTTCGAGCAAGCGACCCTCGTCAAGATTGGACTGGCAACACCGAGCTCGCGTCCCACTTCTGCCTCGCCATGGACGAGGTACAATCGAAGCTCATTAATCCCGACGTCGTCACCCTCGTGGCCCACGACACAAGCGACCCGGCGGCCCTTGTCGCATCCATCGAGGTATCCAAGCGCGACGGCGCGGGCCGCCTGTCCATGATTGCCGTCGATACGTCCCACCAGCAGGGCGGCGTGGGGAGACGGGTCCTTGAGCATGCCGAAGACTACTGCCGCCGGGCTTGGGGCGTCGACAAGTTTTCGTTGAATGCTCTTTCTACGCGCAGGGCGCTCATTGAGTGGTATATGCGCCGAGGATACGAGAAGACAGGAGAAACGAGCCGCTTTCCGGCCGAGAGGTTCCCTGAACTGCGTCTTCCTGAGGATATATGTTTTGTTGAGCTGGAGAAGAGCTTGAAACGGCGTAATTCCCTTCCACTACACCGCCAGTGAAAAAGTCGTCACCATTCATCCACCGGAACTTCTCAGTTCTGGTATCAAACATGCCCTGGGCAATCAATCTCTTTCAAAGCAATAACTGAATATAACCAGATTCTCGCTAACCTTGCTTCCACTCAGCTATGCTATTTAAATTGGAACCTCGTCAAATGCCCAGATGCATCCGTGATACGACTAGACCGACTGGGAGCTAAATGGTTTCAGCGCCAGTCATTCTCCATCAGCGGAACATTGAAGTGCATCACCTTCCTAATGGGGAAAGTCCAATTCCTGATAAGCTTCTACAAGTTCAATACCTATAGACCTGTCCGCCATGCAGAAAACAATCAGGTTCGGATGTACATACGACGTACAATACAGATGGACGGATCACACATTCTGTTGACGAATGGGATATACTCGGCTTAACGAAATCTCGGATACTATTTGAGAGATGCAACTGTATTTCGGTCAGCCCATCTCAAGGTGTCTTGCCAGCGTTTCGTGCGCTGCATAGCATTCGACAGATTATATCTCGGGCTAGTCTCACAACCCCGACAATAGTATCCTATAAGCTACAGTTATGGTGTCAGAGACACACCTCGTTAGCGTGGTCAAAGTTGCTCGGCTGGTAGTCTCGAGTCAGAACACGCGCGAATAATTGACTCTGTACCCGGATTATTAGACGACTCGAGTCATTGTTTAGTCATTGTTTTCCGTTGTACAACCAGCCAGTGACCATCTACATCAGCGACGCGATTTTACATCATATACTCCGTACGCGACTCAGCCTCACAATGTGCCGGGTTCCGAGAGCCGTGAGCACATGAGCTGCAGTGCCCGGACCTACGGGGCCAACGGCTTAGCCTAGAATGGCAGCTGTATTACCTTTGCGACTTCGTATCTGGCGCCGCACGCTGAGTGGTCGTGGTGTTTTAGGCAGGCCGCCGGTTCGGAATCTCAGATAGGAATGAGGTAATGGACGATGCAACGTCAGGTATACCATCTGGATAGGATCGATAATCCAGAGTCATGAACCGCCAGTATGCTATGCGTTCTGAAAGGACCCGTGCTTGCGATATATACCGACTTTGAAACGATTGACATATAAATACGCAGATAGTTCCCGCCACTTAAGGATGATTACACCATCAAAAAGTTTCCATTTGCCAAGGGATACAATCCTCCGCTTCCGAAATGAAGTTTGGCCTCATTCTCCTCGGCGGGTTCATACCTGCAGCTGTAGCTGTACCGTTTGACCAGTACAAAGTTCACGAACAGCGAGGACCTTTACATCAACAATGGATAAAGGGACAACAAGCCTCTGGCTCTACCGTTGTGCCCGTACGCATTGCTCTAAAACAGAGTAACTTGGAAAAGGCTGAAGACTACCTTCTTCAAGTGTAAGTCATAAAACACGGCTCTGTCGGAAGACTTCATCTAACCTTCTCTAGGTCTGACCCAGCATCTCCAAAGTATGGCCAGCATTTCACAACGCAGCAGATCGTGGATCTGTTTGCACCAAGCGAGCAAGCAATCAATCAAGTCAAAACCTGGCTGGTTTCGTCGGGCATCCCTGCTGGCTCAATCGCGCTCTCTAACAGCAAGGGCTGGATCAATTTCAACACCACGGCCAGCGAGTTGGAGTCCCTTCTCAAGACCAAGTTCTACCTGTACACCAACAACGCAACGGATGGCGTGTACTTTGGAACCGAAGCATACAGTCTCCCTCACGACGTATCCTCTCTTGTGGACTTTGTCATGCCGGGCATCTCATTCACGCAGATGCAGAAAAAGACTGCGAGAATTGCCCACCCCAGCAGCGGCAAGCTTCAAGGCGCATCCATTGACCCGAGTTAGTAGTGATACTCCGCGACAAGACTCGTCACTCGTTCCCCCCTTATCCAATACTAACCCGCCAGCAAATATAGATGGCACGGATCATTGCGACACATATGTTACTCCGCGCTGCATCAGCGCCTTGTATCAAATCCCACCTGCCAAGCTGGCCAACCCAAACAACACCCTGGGCATATTCGAGACGGAGGGCGACGTCTATTCTCAAGAAGATCTGAACCAGTTCTACGCTGCAGCTGCGCCAGGAATCCCCAAGGGTACCGGCCCAATCATACACTTGATAAACGGTGCTACTGCGCCCAACCCGCCGTCGTCCGCCGGCGCCGAGTCCGACCTCGATTTCGAAATTGCGATTCCCATCATATACCCGCAGAAAACCAGCCTATATCAAATCCAGTATCCTGGGAATGCAGGCTACAAAAACTTTAATTACATCTTTAATGATTTTCTCGATGCGTTTTCCGGCCCCTATTGCCACGACAACGGTGACGAGGGATCTGGAAAAGAGTGCAACGATCTGACTCCTCCCAACGTCCTCTCCGTCTCCTGGGGTGACTCGGAAGACCCGTCGTTGGTCAGCTTTCACAAGGTTCGTCGCCGCGCCTGCATCACACCAGAGGCAAGAATACAACCTAACCATGACTTCGCGCAGCGTCAATGCACAGAGTGGATGAAGTACGGCTTGCAGGGCACGTCCGTCTTTGTCGCCAGCGGTGACTACGGCGTCGCCGAAAACACTTGCCTCGGTCCCAAACAAAACATCTTTGTCCCAGACGGTCTATGCGGCTGCCCGTACATCACCGCCGTTGGCTCAACCTACCTCCCCAAGGGCGCCAAAGTCGGGGACCCCGAGGTTGCAACCGAGAGATTCTCTTCTGGTGGCGGCTTCAGCAACATTTTTGCCACTCCAGAGTGGCAGCACAGTGCTGTTTCTGAGTGAGTATCTCGCCTATGAATTGTCAAAACAGAAACTGCCAAGTCAATGTACGCTAAGCTCTCATGGTGCCCATCTAGCTATCTGACCAAGCACAAGCCCAGCTATAAATCCTACAACACAACAGACGGCAAACTCCCCAGCTCGGGCGGAATTTACAACCGCGGCGGCCGTGGCTACCCCGACATTTCGGCCATTGGAGACAATGGTGTTGTTGTAGTCGGCGGCAGCCAAGGCACCATCGGCGGAACATCCATGTCCGCCCCTCTGGTCGCTGCCATCTTCAACCGCATTAACGAGGAGCGTCTGAATATCGGCAAGAGCCCTGTCGGATTCATCAATCCGGCTCTGTACAAGGCGTATAGCAAAAAGGCATTCAACGACATTACAAAGGGAGATCAGCCCGGCGGTGGTGGTTGTGGCACTACTGGATTCTCGGCAGCATCGGGCTGGGACCCTGTTACGGGTCTAGGTACGCCCAAGTACACCCAGCTGCTCGAGTACTTTCTGAGCCTATAAAATTGGAGTTTGGGGGGTTTGGTGAGACTATTCCATGACGATAGCTACACAAGGGCTCCAAGACCTAGTTGAAAGCCTCAGCGTCTGCGACCTAAGACCTCAGGGGCTCACCGCCGCTTTGCATGAATTCTGGCTCAATGGCCTTGGGTGAAACCAAGGACCTTTGACACTCAATAAAATTATTCGCTGAATTCGAAGCTGTGTTTTTCAAGCCCTTGTATTGTGTCCCTACAAGTCCCTGTCATAATATCAACCATGTTCCAGTGTATACCCCGACATATGTGGCAATTCACGAGTTGTGTCACTACTAGGCCCTGTACAGTCTATTACTAGCAGAGACTTTGCGTTGATTTAAACTTACGCGAGCTACGTTCTTGGACTCACATTTTATATTAGATAGAAAGGGCATTTTCATTCCTTGGTAGCAAAGTATTTACGGAAAAACTATATTTATAGTTGTTTCAAAAAGCTTAAATAATTAATAATAAATCTGATAATGTCCGTTAATCGGCCACAATTAACGGAAATTAAAGGAATATATTAAAGCGCGTAAACGTGTGGCAGACTGGATGTGGGTGTATTATCTTGTGGAGCGATGTGGGGTACAGCGCTCATGCATAAACCGACTGACTCTATGTACATATTGGAGAGCCTTGGACTATCTCTAGCAATATGCAGGACATACGCCGGGGAAATCAGGACTTGGTTGCATGATCTCTCCCTAGCCAGTGGCGTCATTTCGAGCCAAGAGGTGTCATCTAGGACCCTTAAAAAAACATGCGCGAATCAGGCAGCGATATGTTGGAGTTCAATAAGCGCACGGGTACCCGTGGCTCTATTTATATACGGGTCCCAGGTCCCATGCGCATGACCAAGTACAGCTGCGTCTGTAACATCCTGGCGTATACTTCGTACGTCCAGACTCTTAAACGTCCATGTCGCTTAATTGATTCTAACTTTGATGCCCCTGACGGGTGTGCCCACTTTTGCAGTCGCTGCAGGCCCATCCCGAACCCGTCCGGACGTCTGATGACGGTAATAATTTCGTGGATAAAAACCGATCCCTCCTCGCCGTGGCCTGTGCTCTCGTATATGATGCCTGTTCGAGAAAAAAAAACCACTTTTAATACATATTCCTCGGCTTGCGCTAACAAAACTTGTTCCTATTCGGAAGACATCCCGTCCACGACCGGAGTTACACCCGCACTATTACTAATAAATGTCGGTATTCCCGAGAGGCTCTGCTATCTCGACACCTAGACCCGGTCTGGTCTATAATGCATAGTTGCTCACATAAAATACTACTATACTTGTCAACCGCACATGGAAATAGCAGAGATGCGAGCGTTGATGTTAGATAATCGTAGCCAGCTACCTGTTTTGTGAGTCTGGCCCGTATAGTTGTCAAGATAAAGATGCGGGATTGGTAACTAATATATTCTGCAAAAAAAAAAAAGAAGCAATAAGTTGCTTTACGTAACAGAATTAATATACAAGACCCTGATGCCAATAAACGAGTTGTCCTAGGCATAGGCAAAGCGGGCGAGAATGCACATGTGACTAGACCCTTAAATTATATACATCGTCCGGGGGTCCTCCGGGAGCCGGCTTTGGCCCTGGGTTAGCTGCGGCTGCTAGTTAGCCGGGTATTATATTAATGCATTTCTTCTTAAAAAGTGGGCCGCGAGGCTTTTATTCTTCCTTGCGAACCCTTATATATACTACAACACCATAAATTAGTATTAACCCGTTGGCCGTCGTGCCTGTGCCGCCTAGTAGCTCATGCAGCCGGCCTGACCTGCGACCTACGCTGCAGCCTACGACTAGGCCGCAGCACATTTCACTCTACTCGGCCTCCAGTTTTTATCCCGCGTTGCCTAAATGTTGTGATATGCTGGTCTTGATGAATCCCAGCCAAATGACTCTTTCCCCCACAACGTATAGTTCTAGCGTGCAAGGGTTGGCATAAAGAATATGACTTCGCCTCGCCCGGATACAAGACCCCTATCCCTATCCCTGAGAGCTTCAACAATACGCTGCTTGCAGTTTCTATAATTTCACAGACAAGGTGATATGAAAGAAGTCTATATAAAGCCGCGCTTGAGCTACATCCAAATCAGCAATATTCCTCTAAGCCTACATGGCCCTACTACCTCAGGCATCACGCAGAGTCTTGTAAACAGTCGCCAACATGACCATTCTTTCTATACTGCTTCACTTCCTCCTCTGGTCTCTGCAAAGCTGCGCCCTAAGTGTGCCGACTAGCCATGATCCAACTTTGGATTTATCACCCTATCCAGGTGTTGTTGGTACTCACGAATCTGACTTGTGCGTTGTCTTATCCCTTTTAATAATATGCTATTTAAACTAAATTATTCTCCTAGCCTCCTACGTAAGCGACAATCAAGCAGCGATATCTTGATTGCCCTCTACGCCCGGGGCCTTAACGCCGAAGCCCGCAAAGCAGCAGGAATCGAAGCCTTTCACTGGGGTATTCACATTACTCCCGAGGGCGCTCTGAAGTCGGAGAAGACAACATCCCTGTTCCACGTAATCAACCAGGAGGAGAATATCAAATTATTCCAGTACGAGAAGAGGACAATTAACCCGTTTAGGCAGCGTGTCATATTTGCACGTGTCAAGGTCGGCACGCTGCCTGCCACCGTCTCCGTCGACAAGGTGGACGAGCTGCTTTCCCAGGTCCAGGCGCCAAGTAAACTCGAAAACCCCGGCGACAGCTGCGTTACATGGGCGGTTTGCGGCATAAAAAAGTTGCAAGAAAACGGTATAATTGAGAACTTTGACACGGCGGGTTTTGCCGATAAAGTCCTGGAATATGGAGAACAACAGACTAGGGCTCTTGATGACGACGAACCCGAGTTTGAGGCAGACGAATTCGACATTGGCAATTACGATGCCAAGGAGGGAAAAATTATAAGGCAAGAGTCTGTCCCCTGCAAACGGGCGGGCGAGCCCTGTATCAACCCTAACCCCAAGGAAAAGGAAACCGAGCCTGCAGTCGAAAAGCCGGAAGATGCCGAGCTGATAGCCGTGGCCAAGGAGAAGTCCAAGGAAAATTTTGATGGCCTCTTGGAAGAGTTCAACTATGGCAGTGTGGTAAAGCAGGACAAGCTATACGGCGAGCTGAATGCACGGCTACCTGAGTTTAGCGCGCCGCGGGTTGAGAGAATCGCCGGCTTTGCTAGTAAACTCGGCGAGGGCGCCCTGGCTATTGGCGGACTTGTCCTTTACGGCAAGGCTGTGGCGGATGTGTTCGCAAGCGAGGATGCCAGCGTCTTGGACAAGGCCGCGGTGGTGACATCCATCTTGCCCGGCATTGGCTGCGCCGTACAGCTTGCAGATGATGAGCAAAAGGGGCAAGTTGACGTCACCCATACTGCGTTGTGCTTTACCGAAGATGCTCTGCTGGTCTCTGGGTTCTGGGAAATCGCCCTGGTAATGCAGGTAGGAGAAGAGATCAGCAACTGGATACAAGCAGAGAACGAGCGGAGCAAGTTCTGGGACGGGGATCTCCTTGCACAAAAGGGTGCAGAGGGATGGCTTCAGAATGTCAAGAGGCTGATCAATCATATTAAAGGAGATGAGTTTTTTGTCAATGCCACAAGCCAGTTTGCGACATACCAGATCCTTACTCTGTATCAAGCGTCGCAGCTTACTGGCGACCTGCATGCTACTGCGAAAACGAACCCGCAAGGCATCGAGGCTGATATCCACGCCCATGTCCAACCAGAGCTCAAACGGCAAATCTGTTCAGTTATATCAGACAGCAAGCGGCAGCTACAGGCGAAGCTTGAGGGTATAGCTCTGAATCACACGGCAAAGCTGGAGCGCGAGTTTAAAAACCAGTTCCTGGATGACTGGCTAAAGGCGGCGACCACGCCGAAGCCGATATTCGGCATAACACTGCCAGACTTTGAGAGCAATACGAAACTCATCCACGAGCAGGTTGAGAAAGCCAGAAATTCACCCCTGCAACTGTATGAAAAGGAAGTCAAGGCGGCTATTAGGGAGGTAATTGAGCGGCTGCCAACACCTGCTCCATGCCAGTGTGATCAGGGCAAGAAGGGAGGCAAGTGCGAATTTGGCGGCTGCCAAAGCACGAAACCTGAAGGGCACCCCCAGGATGCGGGAGGGAGAATATATACTGCCAACGTGCAGTCTATAGAGGTGGCCAAGAGACTGCGTTTGACAGACACTTGCCAGGCCCTCTTCGCGAAGTGTCAGGGAGGCGAAGCTGGCAGGGCCCTATTCTGCACGCCGGGCAAGTAATGCCTGATGCACTTCAAATACAGGGCTGATTGAGGACCATGTCAAATTTTCTATATAGACTGTCTGCCCCAGTGTGCTGTATAGCCACGCGTCTAGTTTCATACGGTTTCATATATCGTTGATGAGTCTCAAATATAGTAGTACTTGACTAAGAAATCCCATAAACTAAATGCCATCGGCGCAGTTGGAACTTTCTAATCATAAATATATCATCAGCCTCATCCGCTCTATTGCTATCGGAGCCCTCTGATAGGCTTCTGGGATCTGTTTCACCTGACTCTCCTGTTCCCGTGAGGCGTCCATTAGATCGGATCTGAACAAGCAGCAACATGGCACCATCACTGCACGAGTTTAAAGGAAGCCAAGAACTTGCCTGGAAGTTATCGATGAATCACATCTGTGGTCCGTTTGGCTGAAGTGGGACGACTTGTTTAGTAGTTTAGGAGTGCTGCACGTATGGAAATATGCACTGGCAGTAGTGAGGCAGTGCTAGTTGAGCAAGCTTCCATCCTTGCACCTGGCAAGTGCGAGCACGGGAACCAAAATCCAGTATCACTGTGGACTACATGGTGAGAGATCTGGCCAAAGCCAACATGCCAGTACCTGAGCTTGGCGATGGGCGCGACATTATCACGGAGATGTCATGTAGACGAAATGCAATGCAAAAGTCATCAAAAAAAATGATGGAGCCTGACAGAGCCCAGCAGCGAAGGTAATTCAGCTTGTGGAGAGTTGGCCATGCGGTCGCAGGCATCCTATGTTCAGTTAGCCATTGGCCTGAATGAAAAGTCAAGTTCTGAACCCTGCAGGTAATTAGGGGTTACGTAGTGGACGGGAGTGGCTCTAACGCATGTGTCGCACCGGTGTCGGCGGCATCCGTTTTCCACGGCGGCCGACCGTGGTTGTTTTAATGTCGCAAGCTTGTTTTCGTCACTTGACGAGCTTGTTACACGCGCACGTCACATTGCGGGGTAAAGCTGACCCATCTATCCTAGCAACAAGCCAATTACGGTTTCGCTCCCGTCCCCTCCCGCGCGGCCCGGTCCGATTCTCCGCAACCAAGCTGGCTGATCCTTGTTGCCTTCCCATTTTAAAATATATTTCTGAGGGAGAACTGGGCAGGCCAACCATGCTAGAAAACGCTTTAGCAATGACGCCGTGCCGTCCGATTTATGAGCCTTGACCTGCGGAGTGAAGAACAGCGACGGCGCGAGGAGCGAGGAGCGAGGAGCGAGAAGAGTAGCTCACACATGCATACTACGAGTCTGTCCCGTGTAGCCAATTCTCCAATCAAATATACTAAGAGGCGCTTCGAATCGTTATTGCAATATTCCGTAAAAACTCCAATCATGTCTTCAATGCCTGATCAGGCCATAGAGCTCGATGCCGCTATGTCTAAGCTCGCGCGGGAGACGGTCATGAAGCGCTGGATCGAGCAGAGCATCTGGAACTCAAGTGAGACAAAGAAAACAGGTGGATGTGGAAGCACGAAGAACCACTTGAGTTTAATTCTAACTCGGAATCTCAAGGCAAGGCATCTCAATCTTCATGCTCCGGCGTAATAGACAAGGTGAAGCCAAGACCGCCGAAGAGTGAGGAGGAGCTGCAACAGAAAGCTGAGCGACGCGCAATACATGAGCGTGAACACGAAGCGTCACGCCGGTTCCGTCACTTTATTTCCCAGGTGTCGAAAGAGCGTGACCGAATACATGGCAAAGCAAGCCTCGGCCGGCATCAACACGCAGGCTTATAGAAAGATAAAGTAGCAAAAGAATTAGAAGAGAAATCTGGCGCGGGAAATGGGTAATATTGCCAGGGATGTCGTGGAGGCACAAACAACCACTTAAAGACGTGTTGGCCGAGGAAATGGGGCCTAATCCTGCTCCTTCAGTGAGCCCATCCGAGGGCGACGGCCGCGGAGCAGCAGAAGCAAGTGATGGATTTCGGCAGTCAAGACATGAAAGGGGCCTGAGTCCAAGTCAGGACTCCCAGATGAGCTGCAGAATGGCAATGCGCATCACCAACCCTCAGCAGAGTCGGCACCAAGTCAACAGCGCTTTCTTACAGACAGCGGAGAGGATGCTCGCTCTGTAGCGGAACAAAAGCATAAACAAGGCGAAAGAGTCTTGTCCCCGAACGCGAGTGGTTCATTCTAGATCCTGACGACATGGATGCGGAGGGAATGGCTAGCATATAGCAAAAAAAAACTTACAAGGCGTCGAGACATGTGTCCCTCATGGTCATGGCTGCTCCGGACCTCGTACTCAATGGCCTGTCAGAGTGCGAGAGAGTGTGAGACCAGTGTAATTAGAAAAGGTAGGTAGGCTAGACGTGTTTCTCTTGCCTGTCACTCTGTGCTGCTTCCCGCCGGGGACAAGTTGTTTGCGTCTTCGTCTCTTTTGGGGAGTCCGAGACGGATGGATACCCCGCGATGATGTCTGCATATATCTACCGACCAGGTCGTGCAGCCCCACGGACTGATTTAATTTAAGGTGTCAAACTATAACAGTCTATACTGTACAGTAACTATCGTATAAAATTTACTTTTAGTTGCCGCAAATTAAAATATTATACAAGGTTTACGGCTTGGTTGCAGGAATATCTAGTAAAGGAATGCAGTATTATAACGCGAGTTAAACCTCGCGCGATTCGATGCGAGATGGCAATGCAAGCCTAAACCTAATAATACTACATTACTACGGTCTAATAAGCCATAAACCTTCTTTTCCGTCTGGTTATATATGCCTCTACATGCTTATCGTCTTTTAGCCTTGTCCCGTTAACGTGGATGCATAGCGGGGTAGCCACTCTCAACATTCTTTCAGCAAAGACTCCATGTCTACAAAATAACAAGCATGGTGGGGACGGTGAAATTCGTGAAATTCGAGGACGGGATACTAACAGCACCAAATTTGTCAAGCTAGAGCAGCATGCGCAAAATGGAGATGCACGGAATGGAAGAAGATGCACGTATCTGCAAAGCGCTCTTGGGTCTTTTCTCATTTTTGAAGCTATGCATTACCTATACAAGGCGTGAGTTACTGCAGCTTGGAGATGATTGAATTGTTAAGAATTGCTGCATCTGGCATCATCGGCTTGGCTGAAGCGCGACGGGACTGCCATGAGAACCCGATCGAGTCATCGACATTCATACACGAGGAGCGCCGTGCTCGTGCACTAGAACGCAAGCAGGCGCTGCCGAGTCGGTCCTGTTCTGCTCTGGGCGATGGGCCCGGCGACGATGAGGCCGTGGCCGGCGCGTCTCATGAGGTCAACCCTAAGCCATAGAGCCGTCCAATGGACCAATCATCTTACACGAGGCCCAGGGTTAGATGAGAGAGGCGCTGTAGGTGTCCGGCTGGAGCACATCAAGAGCCACTTCGCCGCAAGGCCTCACAGGTTAGGCAAAGGTGAGAGGGACCAGCTCTTCGAGACTGTCAGCAAGCTATTCCAGGACGCCGGGGGAGACGGGGAAGAAGAATACACATCCGCTGTTCCTGCAGTTGTCGAACAAGCTGCCCCTCTCGAGCAGCACGACTAGCCATATCCGTACTCGCCTGCGTCGCAGCCTGGATAACACTTGCGCCCACAAGAAGAGCCTTGGCGATAATAGACGCATCCATCTGCATCGAGATACCAACACCCATCAGCTGTGCCTGTAAAGCAAGACTCGGCAACGTCATAAGCAATCCAGCATTCTGCTGAATTCCCGCAGCAATCTTATTCGTATACGCCGCCCACTCCGTCGCAGCAGACTCGAGATACTCCTCTGCACTCACCCGCAACTCATCCTTATTTGGCTGTCGAATGCCAATGTCAAGATCAACCCAGTCCCCGTCGGAAGATGGAACCATATCAGTTGACTCCCCGATCAAAGCGAGGAAGTACTCTAGCCGCATCATGTGTGACTTGCGTGTCTCAGCCAACGTCCCCAGCGCTGATGTCGCTTCCAAGACTTGATGCTGTCTAACATCATTCAGAAGTGATAACACCCCAGTCTCCTGTCTCGCACGAAGTCTAGCCATAGCCTCAGCATCCCTCCACTCCCTGATAGAAAGATAGGACTCAGAAAGTGACCGCAACTCGGCACGCAAATCCTGCGCCTTTTGCAAAAGAAACTTGGCCCTACAATTCGGCATGGGTCCTTCCGTCCTACCCCCAGCCAAACTCGCAAGACTCGCGCCACCCGCTCTAGCAGCTATCAACTGTCCTGGATCCAGAGGCGGGTCGAACAGCGGCAAACGACGTGGATTCCCATCAATATCCAACTCGTGACGGATATTGTACAGTCTTCCGCCGATGACATCACGTAACGCTTGCATGGTCGGGTTCGCTGGAATACTAAAATACGTTGATCGGACAAAACCCAATGTCCCATCACGAGTCCCAGCAGGCGGAGAATTCCCCTTCACGAGCGTATCGATAAAATGCGGAAGCTCGAGCTCCATGTTCATGGTAGCCGTAGCAAAGTCCGTCACAAGAGACTTTATGTCATCATAACGCTTGGTGATAGGTCTCGTAGGTGACACAATCGTAGCCGGTGCCGGACCAAAGAGTGTCAGTGCCTCCGTATACCGTTGCGTAGCCATGGTTATCGCCTCAGGGGATAGTTGACGGAAGTACTGGTCACCCCTTGCGATGAGGATCTCGATGCTCTTTATAACGAAGCGTTTCATATAAACGGCTGGATGTTGCCGAGCAACTGCGTGCGGGGAGAAGGAATTTGCTTTCCAGTCTTGTACTTCGAGGGACTCGGCCGGTAAGGGTTTGAGATTTCGTATAATCTGTCGTACAGACCCGCCGAGACGGAGATCAGCTGATTTAAAGGGACAAAACGCCAGCTTCGGTCAAGGTTGGAGAGTGATTTGCGGGTGTCTGCTGCTATTGCTGCTGCATTGTCGGTTTCCAGGTTGTCTCGTGACGGGTCAAACACGAGACGAGAGACTTCGATAGCGAAGTCGAATTACTGTGTGGCGAGAAGTCGTTCCATCAATAGAGACACGACATGGAGGCCCATTTCCCAGTTGTAAATCGAGGCTGGCATGGCCAGTTCCCTGTACTTTCTGTTCTACAATCCGAGGGACCTGTTCTCCATGTCCTTGGGAGGCGCTCGAGTGCGTCAAAGATGGCCTGATAACCCTCCGTGTCGGCAATCTCCTCGACGAGATACAAGGCCGAGTCATGTGTCATAGTCGACGTCGAGACTGTTGTCTTATTTCTGGTGTCGATTTTGCCCTCAAGTATCATTCTGGGAGAGCCAAAGAATAGCGAAGCCTGCGTCAGTGCAGTTCTTTCAACAACCAGTCCCAAGACTCCCGGATACTGAGAGACATTGTTGGTCAGAAGCCACGAGAGTGCATACGTCTCCGTCATAGTCTTTGGACTAGGAACCGCCAGGAGTGAGTGTTGGTTCTCATCGATACCGAGTTTGCAGGCTTCAACTTGGCTCTTCAATGTCGAGATGTTGTCGGTCGAACTCGAGTATGTAATCCGGCCAAAAGCCATCTCAGTATCGATATACGTCCCAACCGTTGAACCAGCAGTGCCGTCGATCAACCGCAGTCGAAGACCCTGCATCTCAAAACGTCCGAGTATCTGAAACTCACCTCCGCTCCCAGAAGTCTTCCACCGGTCCACATGAGTAGCAAGGCTCAAACCTCGATTCTTCTTCTGCAAAAAGAAGAGATGGAAGGTAAAGCAGTCTCATCCGAAGCCACACCGACATGAATCCCAGTAGCAGTGATATACTTGGGAGACCACTTCCCATTCCTCATCTTAACCCAAGCCATCTAAATCTCCTAAAACTCCTCCGCCTTGGACGGCCCATCAACATCGTTTGCTTGGTCCGCCAAACTCTGCTTTTGATCCTCTCCCTTCTTCTCTTGCCTCGCAATCTGTGGGATGAACAAGAACAACCTCTTCTTGAACAACGCAGGAAGAAGATAGCCCCCCGGATGAGCAAGAGGTTTTTGATCAGCATCAACTTCATGCGTCTGGATATCACCCTCCATCTTACTCCACGGAAGCCAATTCCAACTAATCAACATTGTATTCGTTCCTATTACTACAAGTTGCCTATAATAAAACACAAAAGGCGCCGCACGCGACCGATCAAAGAAGTGATATCTCCTGCGATAGTCCTTGGTCGATTCCCAGACATGGCTCAACACTTCAAGGTCAGCAACTTCATGGATAGCGTAGACATACTCGCGGAGTAATTAACTAATAGTATCCCAGTCAAGACTTGCTTAGAGCATATTACTCTCCAACTCTTCAAAGGCCTGGGTTTTGTCGTCTCGGAGGGAGGGGTCGACCCAATTCTCGGGAGAGGAAGACTTCGCGGTTAGCTTGCCAGAGTGTAAATTTACACATCCAGGCCCAGAGAGATTGATTGACTCCGGTTGTCGATACACCCTATATCTTCTCCAGCCCTAGCAACGATCATTGGATGAAGAATTGTGCGCTGGCGATGGCCTGCCCGATTCGTGATGTCTCCATCGGTGGACCCATCTGTAGGTCCATGAGGAAATCCGCCGATAGATCGCCGGTGGTGATGATACCACGGTTGACAAAGACTGGCAAACGGATGATGTATTCTTGCAATACGTGTTGTTGTCTAGGGATGACGACTTCCTTCGCTCGTGCGAGTGCACCACCACTTGTAGATGCAGATGAGGATGATAGTGCTGTCTTCAATTCCTCTGCAAGTTAAAAGTCCTCTACTTTCTTTGGATCCCAGGATAGTTGCGCCCATGTACGCAGCGTCGTAATAGGCACACCGAGATCCTTGGATAGGGAGCAGGCTTCGGTTAGTTGCTGGAGAGAATATAAGTCCCCGTCGAAGAAGGTTTTGGCCAGATCCTTGACTATTGCCATTGGCCAGCATGTGGTGAAGAAAGCGGAATTGTCACTCGCATCGATTAAAGTCAGTTGTTTCTTCTCGGCCACCAGCTTATCGATCGTATCCGTCTTTAACCCGTTCGAGAGTCGTTCAAGGTATTTGACATAGGCTATCAAAGTCGCCACACCAGACGTCGAAAATTGTGTTCGAATATTAGCAAAGGAGCGTAGTCGGAGTAGTTTAGCGACATCTACACGGGAAAAGTTAATCCCCTGTCCAAGATGAAAGCCCACCTCTTCCGGCTCAAGACTCAACATCTTGGCCACGTCCATACATCGTCCCAAGTGGCCCAGAGTCAGGCAAACGAGACTTGCAAGCTTGATAGGACAAACCAAGCTGTCCTTCAAGCTCACCTCCCCTCCTGATGTAGAATATGACAGATACTCCAACTGCAACCCATCCATCCATTCCACTAGGGCCACATTACCCTGTTGCAAGTGCTGAGGCGTAGTAAAACGCTTCACATCAGGTCCAGGGATAGACGTAAAAGGACAATCCTGACCGCGGATGGCAACTTTCCCCTTATCCGAGTTGGTGATGAAAAAATACTCCGCCGTCACAGGAGAGAAGAAGTACTAGTTGCGCCGGACCAGTAGTCCTTGAGAGAAGTATAGAAGCCTTTGAGAGACTGGAGGTATGTTGCATTTGTCGGATCTGGGACGCCAGGTAGGGGCGTGGGATCCTTGGCGGCTAGGAGCTGCTGAACGAGTTGAGAAGGGGCGTCGGGGAAACGAGTGGCGAGTGAGTCGGTGACGAGAGTATCCGTTGCTCGACGTTTTAACTCTGGGACCATCCAGACCATGCCTTGTTTTCGACGTGTTGCAATCTTTTGTTCCCTGTCGTTAGGTTTCGAGTCTGGGACTAGCTCTTTAAAGGCGACGATGACGTCTGATACGTTAAGACGGAAGGTCTGAGCAAGCACGCTAATGGTTATGCTGTTGTTCGTTATAGTGATGCCTAGAAGAGAATTAGTAAAGTAACTCAACAACCAAGGACGATGAGTGATGGTGAAAACATACTTGCTGTCCCCTCAACCACATCAACCACGTCCTTCGCAACAGAGGGACTCAACATTCTCGAACACATAGCCAACAAACTCTCGCTACTATACACCTGAACATCTCCAGCTCCTTCCCCTCCACCACGCAAAACCAAAGCAAACTCCCCCTCAACACCCGCCACTCCCTCAACGATCCCAGCCACAGCACTCAAATCATGCTCATCCAACTCCCCCCCTCCTCTTCTTCCAAGAAAATAATCAAATCAAGCGCTTGCTGGCTTCACTCAATCCCTTCTGGCAAATACAACCACAAATCCAATACCTTCAACGCACTCTGCGGATCAGTAAAAGGATCAACACCCCCCTTCTGGCAAACAACCCTCCACCAATCCGCATACCTCTTCACCGGCAGATGAAGCATCTTGTACAGCTGCTGATGACTATACAGCCTGGAAATCCCATCAAGCGTCCAGGGCGTGTTGGAATCGAACCCAATAATCCCCATGAACACAACCTGATCATCCTGCGTCATACCCAACGCCCGCAACACAGCACCCTTATTCTTCCCAAACGTAGCATCCGTCTGTCCATCTCCATCCACAAACGCCAAGGACGGATACAATTTGACCAACCCGCTGCGCAGAAACAGTCGCGCATAGAGAGAATTAGAAAATTGTGCGTACATGAGGCCCCAGAAGGGAAACAGCTCGACGACGGTGATACTAGTCTTGATGGATAATTCCTGCACTGCGGCTGGACATTGGATAAAGTCTCCATCCAATACGTGATGTTGGGTTGTATCGCTGGGATAGATGACTTCTCGATGGGCGAGGGCGGCTGTAGCTGCATCTGTTGTCTCGATGGACCAGCCAAGGATGTTTCGAAGACGGATGAAGGATTGGAGATCGAGTGATGTACGGCGAGATAATCTGGCTGATTCATCACAGCGACCGATCATCGACGACTCTTGTAGACGCATATCCTCCGATTTGTCGCTCAATTTCTGCTATGTGACTGGCTTATCGTCGATGGTCTCGGTGGCCGTCTTCTCCAGTGTGACCACGAGGCGATTGCTCAAGTATCGAGTCTTGAGAATCATATTCAGCTCCAAAGGTGTGAGACCAGATCTTGGCAGAAGCTGGGTCTTGACCAGTCGAAGGCTCATAGTCGACGCCGGATTAATCATCTTCCAAGTTGGTATTCCGGATTTCGATCCATCATCAGGCGATGATGCTGCCACTTTCAGGTCATCCGCTTCATAACCCGAGTACTCTCCCGCCAAGGACAGTCCCACCGCCTGATCATAGGTCTTGGAAGCCAGGTCCGGATGCTGCTGTTGAAGAAAAGTGACAAAGTCGTGCGTGTAAATACCCTCCTGGGTGATAGACTCAAAGTCCAACGGTTGCAAGCCGAGTGCCTCAGCAGCCAATCGTCTCCCATGCGTAGCATGTGCCGCAGCCAGATAATCCCCTTCCTTTGACGCCGGCAAGCTAGGAAAAGCTCGATGTACCAGATCCCCATCAGTCTGAAACCGCCTCAGCAGCTCATACCGTGACAACACAGCCCTTGTAATCCCCATAGCATTGTTATAAGGAAAAATCCCCATAGGGTCATAGGCGCAATCCTCTCCGCAACAGCTGTATACCCCCCCGTCATCCACACCAAGTTCCTTCTCAAGATAATTTCCCATAACTTCGACAGCCGTCTCCTGATACGTAACCGCCGTCTCAACTGCATCTCCGCCACATCAGGCCTCCGATGCAAGAAGATATCCAACATGGTCTTGGCATCCTTCCCTTTTCACAAGTCCCGATGAATACACCGCAGAGGAGCTGCATGAGATCGACGAGGTATGACGCCGGGCCCAAGACAGAGGTACTCTCATCAGCGGTCACGCTGTCTAGGTCGCGGAAGAGTGTGTCGAGGTTGACTTGTACATGGTCCGTCTCAGGGTAATCTTTGCCATATTTTATATCCGTTACGGCAAGGACTGGGATCTCACGGCGGGAGCGGACAATATCGGCCCAAATGGCGTCACTGCGTGTGTCGATGCGTTGTGCTTCGCGGTGTATGGCTGCGAGTTTGGCGTTGCTGAGGGCAGAGGAGGAGAGACGGTTAGTAAAGTCAGATTGGGATGCTAGGGCTATGGAGCTGGCGGATGTGAAGCCGGCATCGAGGAGAGCGGGTAGGTCTTCTGCGTCTGTGACTAGGGCGTGCAGACGGAGGAGGGAGGTTAGGGTTTTTTGGACTGCTGTGGCATCGCCGGTGGTAAGGGATGATAGATTGGACTTGTAGGCTGATGTGGAAGTGAATTGGCTAAAGGTGGGATGTGTTGTGTTACCGCCATTGCCGGTGTTGGCGTGGAGGGTTAGGAGCTCGCGGAGGGCAGTATTTGCGGCGGGAGGTTGGATAGTCAGGATTCCGGAGTTGGAGAGGGCGCCGAGGATGGTCGTTGGGGCCCGATAGAGAGGACCCGGGCGTACGGCTTTGGATATTTGTTGGGTTGTGGTGTCACTGTCGTCGGGGGGGCTGTAGTACTTCAAAGCCACGTCGTTGAGTGTGCTGAGAGATTCGTCCTGGAGGATGGGAAGGTAGAGTTCCCGATCATCCTTGCAAATGTCGATAATGTCGATCGCGAATTGGAGGCGTTTGGAGACGAGAGCTCGGAGGAGAGGGTCGCTCCGACGGCAGAGGCCAGAGGGACGGCAGAGACCGGTTCCGACGTTCTCTCGGATGGACGAAGTGATTGCGTCGTCCAGTCGGAGGGTTTCGTAAAAGTCCTCCATTTTTCGTTTTTTTTTTTCATGTGTGTGTGTTTGTTTTATCTTTTTTATCTTTTTTCTTATTTTTCTTGTTCGTATTGGGGGTTTGTGCAAGGGAGTGGGAAGGTGCGAAAGTGCAGGGTAGCGATTTCCCAATAAGCAGGCCGGCACTCCTCCTCACGTCAAAGTCAACATTCAGAAAAGGACCCCAAGTACTAGTAATCACTCATCTAATACCTCCATAACAGATTCTTCCTCTAATTAATACAATAACCATCACTCTATTTCTCTTTCAGGACTCATTTTCAGCTTGCTATTAAGAAGCGACACGAGTCACACGACCAAAAGATGAATTAATTAATTGTATTTTCCGTCCAGCAATCTTGGTCGCTCAGGTCCCATATTAGGGCAAAGGACGTGCTAAGCTAAACTATATACAAATCCAAACCACAAATGAGCTTCACCCAGCTCTTCTTATAAGACCTCGCCAGTAAAGCTATTAGGCTCACTCTCAGGAGGCGGCTTACCTACCCCGGCGGAGGAGGTAGGTTATCCCCAGAACATAGTACAAGTGTCTAACTATTCCTTTTAAGTATTAATCCTTCTACAGTTTATCTAGCATGATATCAGCTCCCCCAAGGCCGCAACCTAATATAAATAAGCATGGTTTGCCGTGGCCCAGGTAAGCGCTCTCCTTTACAACCCTTATCCCATCAGCGGGAGTGTTAGGCAGTGGCCGTGGCCATAATGGCGAACCCTTGGTTTTCCTCGTTAGAATTCTCTCGCGCTCTCGCTAAGGCTGCTGCCGCAGTCCGTCCTCTAGTAACTAAGCGATGAAAATGGATCAGAGACTATCCCGTAGCCCAGGAGGAGTCTCCCCCCTCACCCCCTTTTCCCTTCAGCTGGCCAGAAACACATCTTCTCATTCCATCACTGCTTTTTCTGGAACCCATTGGTTTATTGGACAATGCAATTATGAACTGGTGCGTGCTCAAGTGCATATCGGACGTGGGAAAGAGGTAAGAGTGAGGGGGTGGCAGTCGGGTATACGCATCCGCGGCGCCTACGGATGCTGCATCGAGGCATGTCCGCTTGATGCTGCCTTACTTCCATCACGATGTGGCCTCAAACTGTCTACTACCAGTGATATCCTTGCAAACTTTCTCGTGTTATACTACCTACTGCCTGCGTATGACGATACTCGCCTTACACGTACCTACCTAGTACCTACCTACCTACCTAGATCATCAGTCCTTTCCGGCCTACCAACTACCAAAGCAGTACCCCCTCACCTATACCACACAACCTGGTGCTCCTTCTCCTACTCCGTAATAATCTTCCCGGCTATATCCTGCGTTATCTTATTCACCCTTACTAACTTGGGGCCACTTTTAGGCACGGCAGGGGCGCCAGTGATGTCTAACTGGAACCACGCCCTGGGTGGGACGTTCATGGCCTCACCCTAGAAGCCACTACTTTGGACTTTAATCTCCTATGGGACGACGGTAGGCTCCTGTGCCGGGTTTGGTCCTGGCAATACCACTGGCGTGTCCTTGGGGCTGTTGATGGTCGCGGTGGTCGTGTACACGTCGGGGGACCAAGTGAGTGTCACAGTATCCTCCGGCTTGGGCTCATCGTCTTGTTCCTCCTTCTTCTCCCCCTCAACTTCCTGAGGGACAAGTGGACCACCACTACGATACTGAAACTTACTCCCAACCCTAAACAGCACCCCTTGTCCTCATCCTCCCCAACATTGAAGCGAAGCACACAAGCCGCCAGGCTCACAGTCTTGGAGGTGTCGTTGCTACCCCGTACCGTCAAAGTCAGCTTCCCGTCGATACCCAGGTCCTTGGATGAGCGTGTGGTCCAAGTCAGCTTATGCGAGGAGATGGCGGGTCCGCGGAAGTCGGGATTCAAGAGTGGCATGTCAGAGATGGCTAAGGCTGCTATGCCCGTGTTAGCCACGGCAGCCCGTGATGCTACGCTGTTGCTGGCTATGGACATGCGGTTGCCGCCGTTGTCGTTTGCATCTGGTACTTTGATGCGACCATCGGCTTTGAGCCTGTTACGCGGCACACACAGGGTCAGTAACTCCGAGAAGAGGCTGTAGGCAAGAGGGAAAAGGGAAGGAGGGAAACATACAGCCTCATCTTGACAGCAACATTCAAATCGCCATATCGCTATGTAGAGGCTTCTGGAAATCCAAGGCGGCACCGCCGGGGTAGGTCAGTCGTCCAGCCGTCTTAAGCTTATTCTTGATACTCTCAATCATGCCGTCGATTCCGGAGCGCAGCCCTCCCTCCAGACCTTTCTTGATGACATCCTCGTAGCCACCGGAATTCCAATTGAAATGATCCACCTTTCTCTTTACATTGACGTATGAACTCGCACTATTGGGGAGGTTGGATCTCTAGGCGTAGACTTGAGGAAGAGTCCTCCTGTTCGTTTGCAATGATCTTGCATGTGACTTTCCAGCTGTGTACTTGTCACTGTTCACGTGCCCACCTCTTGGTTAAGCTCGTCGACGACTCAATAATATAATATATAAATCTAGAATTAAAAAAAGTTTAGCGTTTAATTTATATAAGCTATAAAAGTATTTTAGTATAATAATAAAAAGGTTTAACCCTGTTTTGGTAGTTGGATCTAGTCTCAATTTTTTTCGAGTATAGCTTTTGATCCAAGTCTTCGAGTGGCCGCGGCCTTGAAGGCGTAAATAATTTCCGGTGCGACTAGCACAGACAAGAGCGGCGGAAGTTTGGCCTCTTCTGGAGCCAGAAAGAGACGCAGGCGGGTGATGATCTGGCTGAGACGCGGCGATGCAGTGATGACAGCAAATGGCGTGGCCAGGCAGAGGCCAGTAACGAAAGGGAGAGCCCATAGCCATGTGACGTTATCCTCAAGGGCGAGCAGGCCGGCAATGCCAAAGCCGACGAGAGTTTGCGGCCAAAGGACACGGAAGCTTTCTCGCCAGCCGAGGCCAAGCCGGTCGCGGTTCTGGCCGTCCCAGCGAATGGACTTGCCGCTGACGAGGCCGAAGAAGAAGACTGTGATGGCTACGCTGACGACGTGCCAGATAAGCTGCATCAGGATAATTTCTAGCAAGAGGGAGACGGCATAGCGGAAGCCGCTACCGTAGCGATCAAAGGAGGCACAGATGCAGGCGATTTTAGGTAGTAGCCAGATGCCAATCATAATCAGGTGCGCCACGAATCTGTACTCGAATTGGGTGGCCGCATATCCACCCAACATGCCATTGGCGATGCCGGCTAAGCTCCACAGAAGCCCGAAAGCCGGGCCGAGATATGAGGCGAGGATCTGGCACACCTGGAAGCGGCTGACAGACTTGAGGCCAGGCTCCTTTAGCAAGAACCAGTACTGCATGGTGCCCTGACACCATCGGTGTTCACGGCGCAAGAAATCGAGAAGGGTCGGCGGGTTGGTCTCGTAGCTTTCGGTTTCCAAGGGGATCATGCGGACTTCATACCCGGCGCGGCGCATGAAGATGCCTTCCATGACGTCGTGGCTGAGGATGTGTCCGCCCAGCGGCGGCTTTCCAGCAAGAACGGGGAGCATGCAGTGCTTGTGGAAGGCCCTGGTGCGGATAATGGCGTTGTGGCCCCAGTAAAACGCACAGTCGCTGACCCACCAGTTGCTCCCCACGTTTTGGACAGGCACGCTGTGGCGCAGGCCAAACTGCCAGAGACGGGTAAAGGTGCTGACGGCTGGCATGCCGGCGAATTGGGTTTGCAGCAAGCCAATTTGCGCGTGTTTCTCCATGCTGGAGACCAGACGAACCAGCACGTCTCCACCCATGGCGCTGTCCGAGTCGAGCGTAACGAACAAGTCGTCGCCTTCCGAGTGGTTATCCACATAGTCCTTGATGTTCCCAGCCTTGTAGCCCGTATTCTTGATGCGGCGCCGGTACAGGGGCGCTCGCGACATGCCCACGCCGAGGCTTTTTGCAAGGTCGGCGAACCCTTTATCTTCCATCTCCATTACATCCGGACGGCTGGTGTCGCTGAGAATGATGAAGCGAAAGTACTCAAGGCGCCCGGTTTGGAGCAGGCTTTGACGCATAGCGTGGAGGCGGCTGAGGATCGGGGCCGGGTCTTCATTACACAGGCAGATAACGAGGGCTGTTTGGGAGGTAATTTCTGGGAGGGGACCTTTGGCGTCAAAGTAGGGGTAGATGGACTTTTCTGGGTTGCCAAAAGCATCAACGCATAAACCGATGATGCAGTTCCAGAAGTATATGACATGGGGAGGAGTGGAGATGGAGGCGCAGAACAAGATGAAAGCCTCCAGCAAGGTGATGCCGCCTGGTCTGAACATGGTGAATGTGGTCCACAAAAGGTAGACTATTGTACCAATATTAAGAGCGGCTACCAGCAAACGGCGTTGGAGTAGCGGCATGCCCGCCATTTGAATGGGTGTAAAGCTGTTATTGCTCATCTCGTACATCTTTCGCATAGACTTGTTGCTGTTCGTCACGATTTGCGTTCCGTGAAAAAGATTCTAATAGGGATACTCTTGCTTTATATTGCTGAGTGAGCATCGCCAGTCCGGCCATCGATTAACAGACAAGGCCAATTAACTCTCCATAATCTGTATCATTTTGACAGGTTATGAGCCCGGGCTGGCTCTCAAACGCCAAGTGTTGTCAATTTTAGCTGACTTTCGACTAATGAGTCAACAGAGATCGACGTAATGCCACCATAACACGACGATAGTCGTTGCAAAGTTGATACGACAATCTTACAATATGGTGTTGAAACGCTGATCTGACAGTACTGAAAGCTGCTTAGTTACCAATGAATCTCATAACGTGACAGTTCATCACGGTGGCTATCAGCATCCGCGGCTGTAGGTTGGAGAGCTCTAATGTGAGAGGCTAAGCCACTGTTTGTTCAACGTATGGGTGCCATACAATTGTCTATCGAAGATAAATGACATAAATTCCTCTACTAGAGGAGATCGATCGGCTGGGCAATTTTATCCTGGCGGTGCGGAGGAGTTCATCCAGGACACTGCCCATTGCATCTTGGCGGCGAGAGCCCCCAAGTTGATTCCAAATGCGTTGGCCGCTTTATCAAGCGGCAACTCTACTGTACATGCGACAGAGCTCGGAGACCTAGTTCCGGTACCGCACATCGTTCAAGACGTAGAAACAACGACAAATAGCGCCGGTAAATGTACGAGCTTCACCAACTTGGCAGTTTCGGGTGGTTGGATCCCACCGATTTCAAAGCCATCCGGCGTGGCCGTTGCCACTGCCATTGAATCAACACCCAAAGTAAGTTAAGCCGGATTCCTTGCATGGCAAATGGACGCGTCAACTATACCTTGAAACTCCGCCCCCCTTATTCAAACCACTAAGCTGGGCAGGGCTGGGCTGATTTTGCGATTGTATCCCCTTTCACATGCCCTGCAAAGCGTGGCAAGTTCCGCTTTGCACCAACCATTATGATTGCATTGCTGCTTTCTTGATGTGATACCTGTACACCGCCATAAATAAGATTTGAGTTTGAAAAATCAGGGCCGTCGTTGCGCCGAGCTCAGTTTCGAGTTCCAAAAAGCAGTGCTGTACTATCGGTGCACAAGTGCATAACTAATCGGCCACAATGCGACGTAAATTATGATGAGGCAGGCGTGGACAGGACCAGAAATGATGAAGATGCAACCATCAATATGGTTACAATCGAATTGGATAGAGATTACGAATAGAAATAATACCCTCAATGTGGCCATGTTACTCGACATTTTGGGCTTCGAGATCTGGTAACTCGGGAGGGCTTGCTCAATGGGGTGGGACCTACATAAATTTGACACCACAGGGGGTATTTACGCACTCTGATCTACTCTTTTTGAATATTTGCCTACCTTATCCGGCAAACTCTTCTCAGCGGTGAGTTTTGTCGTTTCGAGGTTCTAACGTGGTAGAGTAGTAAACTGCATTCTGGGGAATCGTTTTTCATGGGTAACCCCTTCCTTGGTCGCCTTTCTTTTGCCTCTCGCTTGGCTGCCTGCTGGGCCTCCTTTTTTTTTTTTTTTTGTTCCTTCCGAGGCAGGAATCCAGAACACCAATAAACCGTTTTCTTTCCTCCGTATTTGTCAATACTGTTGTTACTATGGGCACGGGCCATTCTGTGGGGCGCAAATGGCTTGTACCGTGTTCTCACTGGTGACCACGATGTACCTGGCCATCTCACCTGTTTATGCCGCATTATGGCTGCATCGGGTAAGTGGGGCAGGGGCGAATCGAGATTATCAAACTCCGACGGAAGCCCCTAGAAATTTATTTTTGCCAAGCCTTGGGACGTCGAGTTCCTCCGTCGGAGTTCTGCATGCACGACTCAGAACCTCAATAATGAGCCGACGCGTGTCAGAAAGCCTGGCCCAAACCGTGCAGAAGAAGTTTACATGCGTAAGCCCTGTCGCGGGTGGCTTTAGTTGCGTCTTGCCTACTAATCAGGTTAAAGGGTTGGATCTATTACTTGGCAGTGAACCAAGCTTCCGATAGTGTAATTTCACGTGGACGATAAAGAGTATTAACTGCCGTAGGCATATATACACCCCTCTCCTATAAAAAGGCCCTGTCTAACTAAGAAGCCATATATTTGTACGTAATACTGGACCCTAGGTCAAGGTTTATAACTCGTTTTACCAGAGCTTTTTCAAAGTGGTAAATGAAAACCCAATAAAGGCAGGGACTGCTCGAGTCAGTTACTAGCACAAATTGGTATAGCATGTAAAGTTCGAGAGTCTGGTGGTGTAATCAGTTCAGACTATGAACGCATGTAGAAGCACTTGAGCGAGTTGTTTCAGCTACATTGAAGCAGAAGCAAAAGAAGTAAAAAGAAAGGCGGGACTTGAATCACTCATGAAGCAGCTATAAGGGCACGGGGCTTATTCAGCCAGAAGCGTATTACAAACTAACAAATTAATTATATTATAGAAGAGAAGAACTAAAAGCTCTTAATAAGCTAGCTACCTATTTACATAATTTATATTCAGGGGCAAATTATGAGACCTTTATTTGGTGGCGTTATTGTATTGGCGTCAGCCGATTGCATCTCAACGGCCCAGCCCGTTACAGCAGCTGCCTTTATTATCCCATAATTTTCTACAGCGAACCTTTGTAGGGGTGCTAGGAAAAAGACGCCATATAATTTCCGAATAAACCGTTCAGTATACCATGAAAGCACACCCATGGTTTGAAGCGAAAAGCAAGCTGACATGTTGTAATAAGTGATAGGTATATTGCAATATAGATGCAACCGCTAATAGCCCACCCAGGGTAATAGTATTATATTAATACATGAGCTATATAGAACGAGAAGTTATGCCTAAGGATATGCTTATACGTTGTTACGTATAACGAGGACGGCAATGCGCTTGAGATATAAATAATCTAGTCGTGACCTTGTCTAGGACAAATCTAGTAGACTTGGTTAATACTGACAAGTTTCTGGATTAGTTTTACTACTGATACGGCGTCCTTCTCTTACAGCTCCGAGTGTCTACGGAATCTCAGTTTAATCTTGTCACAGGTGACGCCATGATTCGCCTGTCCTTGCCAACGCTCGCATGGCTCACTATAACAGCCGTTGCCGGCACCAAAGCTCCGAGTACTTCCAGTGTGCATGATTACATTGTTGAGTGCGAGAGCAGCGTGTGCGTTGAGCAGCTAGCAAATAATGTGCAGGAGAAGGGCGGCCAAGTGCGCCACAAATTCAACTCGGATGTATTCCACGGCGTCTCGGTGCAGCTGGAAAGCATAAGCACGGCCGAGCAGACAATGGCCGAGCTGGAAGAATTGGAAGGCATCAGAGGCGTGTGGCCTGTACAAGCGTCAACCCCAGCAGTCAAAGTCGGGCAAGAGAATCAGAAGCTGGGGGCGGCGGGGAATCTGCATTCGGGGGATACGCAGCGACACGGCGCTGGTAAACGTGCAGCCGACGATCTTTGGCCTCATTTGATGACGCATGTGGACAAGTTGCACAAGAAGGGGTTCTCGGGCCAAGGCATCAAGATTGCCGTGGTTGACACTGGTGTAGGTTTTCCGGCCCGCTGCCTCTGTCGTCTGCGGACGGTCTCGAGCATTTCGTATACTAACTTAAAGGCTACATGCAACAGATTGACTACACCCACCCAGCCCTGGGTGGCTGCTTCGGTAAAGGCTGCCGTGTTGCCTTTGGAGACAACTTCTCCAAGGATGGGGAGAAAGGTGACCCAATGGACTGTTACGGCCACGGCACTGAGGTGGCCGGCGTCTTGGCTGGATACTCGAGGGATCAGGGCTTTGTCGGCGCGGCGCCCAACGCGACGCTGATGGCTTACCGCGTTCTTGACTGTTCTGCTGAGGGAACAGAGGATGACATGATGGCGGGTTGGCTGAAGGCCTACGAGGACAGGGCGCAAATCATCGTGTCCTCGACCGGCATACAGGGCAGTGGCTGGGCACAGGGACCGCTGGCCATGGTGGCGTCTCGCATCGCCGCTCGTGGTGTCACTTGCGTTGGTGGCCTCGGCAACATGCAGGAACAGGGTCTTTTCTATGCCATGGCCCCTGCTACTGGCGACGGTGTGGTTTCCGTCAACTCGGTCGCGAGTGACTACACCGTGCCATACCTTTCAGCATACGGGCCGACCTGGGACCTTGGCATCAAACCCAACGTCATCGCGCCTGGTCAGGGAATCTGGGTGACGGAGAAGCATGGCAGGTATACATACACCTCGGGCACGTCGTATGCTACGCCTCTTGTTGGGGGCATTGCTGCTCTTGTCGCCGAGGCACGTGGTGGTAGTTTCAATGGCGTGCTCATCAACAACCTCCTCATGTCAACGGCGAAGCCGCAGCGAGACAACGGCGCATTTATGTCTGTAGCCCAACAGGGAGGCGGTCTCGTTGACGCCTGGGAGGCTGCGCACGCGACGACTCTCGTGGAACCTGCTGGCCTGGAGTTTAACGACACAGAACATCGAGTCCCGATCAGCCTCAAGATCACCAACACGGCCAAGTCGGAGGTCAGTTACGAACTCTCCCACTTGGCGGCCACGACGCTGTATACATTCTCCCCAGGCGGCACCAAGCCCGGTCAGGGCGAGCATGCCCAAGCCACGGCCGACATTAAACTAAGCCTACGCTCCTTTACCCTGGGCCCGGGACAGTCGGCCACGGTTGACGTCTCGGCTGAGGAGCCCTTGGGGCTTGATGCTTCGCGTCTGCCCCTGTGGTCCGGCTGGGTCGCCATCACTGGTTCTGACGGCACTAACCTGACGGCACCCTACCTTGGCCTCAGCGGCTCGCTCCGATCCGCGACCAGCCTGCATCCTAATACCTTGAGAGTACGTTGGGCCGATCCTAATAACGTCACCCCCCTTGATAAGAATGCGAGCGTCGTTTTTCTGGACCCACCATCCGGACAGCGGCCCGGCTCTCCGGCCAGCATTGGGGAGCTTACCCAAATATTCAGCGGCAATCTCTTCTTCCGTCTGAGCCTCCTGGCTTCGCCACAGGTGCTCATGGACATTGTGCCGCTCGACCTGTGTCCGCTCGGAACCGACACGTCGACGGTGCAAGGGCCTCCGGATCTGTCCATGAACTGCGTGCCAAGCTCCATGGTCAAGGACTCTCGCGGGCTCAAATCCATCGGTCAAGTTGCTGGGTTCCCCCGTTATTATGCCTCACGAAACGCGGTAGGCGTTGAAGGCGAATGGGACGGTGCTTATGCCAAGGGCCAATACGCCCCTCCGGGGAGGTACAAGATTGTCGCCCGAGCCCTGGCCGTGTTTGGCGATGCCAGTAACCCATCCGACTGGCAACTCACAGAGTCTCCTGCCGTATTTATCCTCTACCTTCACAACTATATCCCTGTGGCACAACCCACCCCTGAGCAAGCATAGCATGGCATTAGTTGGGCGGTAACCAACATTTTGGGCCCAGGGTTAAACCGAGAAGCGCGGGGTATTATGACAGCTTTACACATGTATCTGGGTAGGCTCGTAACTCAATGTGGATGCGGTAGTAGCCGGTTGGCTCGTTGCTGGAGCTCGCAACACTAGCAAGAAGGACTAGCTAGGAAAAAAAGGATGTGAAATAAAGAAGCCAGCCTCTACCATCGTCATCTAATAAGACAATCTAAACTCTATAGCTTAACGAGGGACCTTGCGGCCCCCCGTGCCCCCCCGCAGCTAGGATGCCAGCGTAAGCTTATTGATTAAGGTTTAATTGTTTCGCTCTGTAGTCAAATAAAATTACACGCATGATACAAGTATCGTGCAAGCGTAAAATCTAAAACAGTATTGGGCTGTACCAGGCCAAGGATAATATTATAAAAAAGCTCTCTTTATATCTTTATTTTTTCTGCCTTGGGCAAAAGCCGAAATTAGCACGAGCAATGCAAAGGCCTTCATGGCGTCTTATTAAGGGACAAATAAAGCGTAATTAGAGCAACAGAGTGTATTAGGAAGAGGGAGTAACAAAAGCTGTTGGTGCGTTGTCGAAATAACAGCCATGGCTTGAGGCCAGGAAAGTCTATAAATATGTAAATAAAATACGGGTTAGTATCTTGGGCGGCAGGAGTATTGTTGTGACTGCTGTAGCACGATACTGCTACTTGTAGCCGAGAGAGCAGTTTCCTAAACGGTACTAATATATGCAAGGCAAATTGTAACACTGCCACGCATGACAAGAAAATGGGTAACAGGTTAGTATTGGATTTCGTGACGAGGTTCCCGACTTTAATTGGCTAGGATTCCTATTATAGTTCGGAGAGTTGGGTATAAAACCGCTCGCTCTTATTTGTTCCTCACGGCGGAGCTTTGTAATAAAAATAAGCTTTAATTTAAAAAAGCTTCGTAATACAAGGTTCCCAAGAAATAAAACAGTTAGGGTTTATATTGGCAGAATCGTTAGGGCGATTGGTCTGAGCCGTTGGCTTTGATCATAGTCAAGCGTTAAAAGTATGCACTTGGGATAGTTGTAATAACAGGTAGGGGGGAGCCTAGGTTCGCGCGGGGACCCGCGGCGTTGGAATTTCGCGGGATGCCGCCTAAATTGCCGTGCATAGTATGCCTTGAGGAACAAAGTGAGAAGAAAACGGAGGGTGGTGATCCTCCTAGCCAATCACTGTCCGCCTTTTTACTCTGACGAAAAAGGTCTCCTGCTTGGGTGTTATGAGGTTTGAATGACTAGGTTAGCATGGAATAACTTGGCTAGCATCTGTCAATTACTGGCCCAAATTTTATTATTAGTGACCTCGCTTCCGCTTCTTTTATAGAATTCTCATCCTAGGTTTACTTTTTATACCCCGTTGCATGCCCCGCTAACTTACAAGAAACGCCCTGGAATGCCAGGCTTGTTTTCCTACCTTGTATTATACTTCTAGCCTTTTATGCCAATAATTCTCTAACTCTATAGCCAACAAGACCTTACTAGCACTATTTGTAATGGCCTTGCTCACAGATATGTATGATGGCTTGGACGACAACATCCGCCCCCGCCAGCCTTTGTAATACCAGAGAAACATTAACAGCAACATGTCCATTATGTGTTTTGTGCGCCTGACCTGCCCCGTAAATTTGTCGGCCCTAATAATACCCATTTAAGGGCCTTGACGCGGAGGCTATTGCGAGGATTAAACTGCTGAAGCCAGCTTGGGCGACAGATTTGCCACAATATCGGTCGCTCTTGCACGTAAACGAAGCTGATGTTAATAGTCTCAGCCACGCTTTCTGTTATAACCTCTCTGTCTACAATAGACCAATCATTGAATCCGACTGGCGCGAAATGTCGTTCTTTATGTATCCCTTTGAATGTGATAAGGTGCCAGCCAGGTAGCGGGCCCACTTCATTTATAGTACCTTTTATATACCTTATATTAGGTATATAGCTTAATATATATAAAGTATTTTTATATATATTTAAAAAGTAAAGGTACTTTAATTCTTATATTAATACCTTATAAGCTTATATATCTTTTAATTTAAGATTTTTAATTAGTTTATATCCCTGCTTGGTACGAAAGTGGCACCTTATCACATTCAAAGGGATGGTCGTGTTTACCCTCACGCGCTTACATGAGAGCTTGATTCTCTTTATGGCCTCGGCTTCGCCGACAAAATCGTCCAATATAGCATTCCTGCTCTCGTAGTCCGCGACCAAGGCTATCAGGCGTCTATCCTACTGCACATGTGCACTCAAAAGACCAGCATCCATCCATGGTGGTTTTCATATCAGCGCTTGGTAGAAGATACGAAGTGTTCCTCAGTGGTTTCCCTAAGCCTACGAGGTCTGGAAGCCTAAAGAAGAAAACAATAAAGGCGACGGGCTGTTGAAATGAGCTCCTTTACCCGCACGCCAATGCCAGGAGGAGGGGTCGCCTCGGCGGATATATCCGCAAGTTTGCATAACCGCGTGTACAGATACACGCCGTGCGTTGGGCTAAAGAAGAAAACGAGGTCGACAACGATCCTCAGTCCCAAGTGTTGCACAGTATAAGGGGTACTAACACATCAATATGAGGCGTGGCCACGCCCATTTTTTGGTGCCATACCAAGTGGGTCAACGAAACAGCGGGGATTGGGCCAATGACCTACCCGCTTCTAGTATCGATAATGATCCTAGACGAATGACGGCAAATGGTCAACTGGTGCCAGTCGTCGGTCGAGCTCGGAGAAATTCAACATCAAAGTCGATACTCAGACCGGCGGTGCGACTTGTACAATCCCCATCCTGACTTCTTTCAGGCGTTCCTCCGATGTCGATCCCGTTCCTAGCCTGGAGTACAGCTCCGGGGCCGCTGGGTCGAGTGGCGTGTTTGGTATGGGATGTCGTCTCATCTCACGCAAGACGTCCAGGGGCGTCCCGACCTACGATGATGATGCTGATGCGGATGTGTTTGTGCATTCCGCCCTAGGAGACTTGGTTCCCTCGGATAAGTCCACGGACTCTCTGATAGCGACCGGATCTTTTGCCAAACAGGTTCAGGACCGTCTGCAAGGAAAAAGGTATTCTCATGGCTGGCTTCGGAACAGTATGGCGGTCACGGGAATCATATTGTATACACGCACAACCCCGAAGACAACGCGTGCGAGTCCGGGGTATTTGATGGTACCCATTCGTCCTTATCGCAGCGGTACCTCAAGAGTATTCAGTACGGGAACGCTACTCCTAGCCGCAGTATCGATAACTGGAACGTTGTGACGAGGCCTTCGGATTGGCTGTTCGAGGTGGCCTTTGACTTCGGCGAGCACAATGACGAACGACCTACCACCAAGCCGGAGAGCGCGTGGAACCGTCGCCATGACCCGTTCTCGACCTACAACAGCGGCTTTGAGATACGGACATACCACCGTTGCAGTCGCGTTCTGATATTTCACCACTTCCCATCCGAGCTTGGTAGGCAGGACTGCCTCGTCTCATCGAGATGCTTCGATTACGAGACAAACGAGCGTTCGGGCTCCAGCTTCCTTGCTTCCTCCGTTCAAAAGGGCCACAGTCCCAAGGGAGACAATGACTACTGGACCCTTGCTATGCCGCCAGTTGAACTTAGGTATACCAAGGGGCCCACCGACCTTACAGATTTACCAGTCGAGGAGATGGATTTGCGCATGTCGGGGCTGGATACCTCCATGGCGCAATGGGTTGACCTGGACGGCGAAGGTGCGCCGGGCATATTCACCAAGTCCAAGGGTGGAGGGTGGTGCTACCAGCGTAACGTCGCGGGCGCGGATGGCCCCCCAGAAGTTGGCGAACCGCGCCCAGCGAGTACGTTGCCAGGCATAACCCAGTCTGTCGTCGAGGACTGGTGTTTTGAAGATGTTCGTGGAATAGGAGTGCTAGACGTCGTGGTCATGGCCGAGAATGGCGGCCTGCGTGGATTTTACGAACACGATGAAGACGATAGATGGCTGAATTATATGCCCTTCGAGTCGCAACCAAACCTCGACAACCCAGAGGATTACCGCTCTGCCGATTTGAGCGGCACTGGCACTGCCGATTTGCTCTCCATGGCACCTATGGCTGGTGGTTCCCTTGTATGGCATTCATCTTTAGGCTCTGATGGCTTCGGTCCGGCGCAGGCGGCTATTGGGGCCCCGGTACTGTCTCTAGGAGATCCTACATCGCTGAATCAGCTCTGCGATATGACAGGTGATGGTCTAGCTGACATGGTCGAGATTCGCAACGGAAACGTGAGTTACTGGCCCAACACAGGCCATGGAACTTTCGGATGCAGGATCATCATGGGTCATGCTCCCTTGATGGCAGCTGGTGACCTCTTCTCGCCGCAGCGAGTCCGACTTGCCGATATAACGGGGTCTGGGATAACCGACCTGCTTTATGTGCGCCCCAAGGGCGGTGCTGTGGCCTATTATAACCGCTGGGGAAACGACTAGAGTAATGGAGGCGTGATTCCAGGGTTCCACTTGCTTAATCGCGCATCGGCAGTCGATATCCTTGATCTTAGAGGTCAAGGTCTAACATCCCTATGCTGGGTGTCTGATCTGTGTCGCGGTGGTGGTGGTAACAACTACGCTGGAAGCACCAGCGGGCTCTCAACGGTCCATTTTATGAATCTCTCGGGCCCGCAACGTCCCGGACTTCTTGAGAAGTGGCCGAACAGGGCCGGGCTGGAGGCGACATGGACCTACAAGTCGTCCTTTGCTTACCTTGGACGACTAAGCTTCCGTTTCCGCTCCTTTGCGTCTCCCAGACCGTGATGGGGGACCAAGTCACGCAAACATCATCCACTGCCCGTTATACATACCACAACGGTTACTACGACTACACAGAAAAGATCTTCCGTGGCTTCCAGATGGTTGAGACGTGAGATGCCGAGGAATTTGACTCGATGACTGCACCGCCGTTTCAACTCCCCCCGTCCTCATAAGGGAGTAGTTTTACACCAGCGTAGGACGGATAGATGAGTCAAGTCGCTTACCGTAGAGCTACGAGATTGATGCGCCACGGCATAACGCCATAGCCAGCGCTACAATACCCTTGTTGGGGACTGATGTGGCTGTTTCCGCAGAGGCATATCGTGCGTTGGCGGGCCAGCCACGGCGAAAAGAGGTCTTCAGCGCCGATCCCTCGGATCCAAAGGCCGCCTTTCCATACCTCATCTCACAACAGACGTACGACGTGGTCCTCAGACAGACGGCGCCGGCACGTTTAGTGTGTAGGGTGGACGGACGAGAGGAGGTCACGGCGCACTATGAGAGGGCGACGGTGAAGGATGAACAGGACCAACCTGAGCTATCAATCCAAGATTCCCGCGTTCAGCATCGCCTCACACTACAGACGGATGACTATGGCAATGTTCTTCTAGAGGCCTTCATGGAATATAGCAAACCATCCAGTCAGCTGCCCAACGCCGATGACCAACGGAAGCAGGAGGAAACCGTTGTTAGCTACGCCGAGATTAGATATACCAACGCTGCCAAGACTTACTTCCAGAGTCCACTATCTGCCAAGGTCCAGAAATACAGGGTCTTCCCAGCTACTGCTATCGGTGGAAAGGACCGATATGCGTGGGAGATGATTGCGCAGGATGACACATGCTTTCTAAAGGAAGCCGTGGGAATTCCTCTCAACGCTGACATGGATGAGCAGCTCAAACACACAAATACCAAAGGGTATCGTGTCTTATTGGCAGATCATCGCACGATATATACATCAACGGATCTGCTTGAAGCACTACCCGTTGGGGTGGTAGCCGAGTTTTCTATCGTTGACCGAAAGTACCATTTGGTCTTCACGTCAGATTATCTACAGGATGTTTTCGGTGACGCGAAGCCAGTAGCGAATATGGAAGTGCTGGCGGCAGATACGTTGAATTGAACGGCGAGGAAGGCAAATGGTGGACACAGTCATCGCGTTCCATCTTTGGGGATGACGACCCGGGCCACCGCCTCAAGACTGCGCGGACGGCCTTCTTCATCCCCAGCAGTGAGGTGGATGCATATGGCAACACATCAACCGTAGAGTTGGGCCAATACTATCTCTTGGCGAACAAGACTACAAACGCGATGGGCAGCACAATGTCCACTGTTAGCGACTATGCTAAGCTCGCAAGCATTATGACCATAGATGCCAATGGGAACAGAGTCCAGACAGCTCCAGACCCCCTTGGACGGGCTGTAGGTGTTGCCGTTCTGGGGAACCAAGGGGACAGTACTGGGAGCAGCCTGGGTGGATTCGAAGGGGAAGTTGACCAACAAACACTGGATGCCTTTTTCACGACGCCTTACGGAGATACAGCCAGGTCCCTGCTTGCTAAAGCGAGTCAGCGGACGATATATGACATCGACTCTTACCGCCGGAGCGGCGTGCCTTCGCGGGTTGCGGAGCTGACCGGTCACGACCACGTTGGAAAGGGTACGGACCTCTCTCCCATCACTGTGCGGATCACATACCTAGGCGGCGGTGGCGTGGGTATACAATCAACTTTGCTATCAAGTGATACATGGAAGATGGAATGGGATTTTGACGCACGGGTTATCAACGACAACAAGGGGCAGCCGGTCCAGAAGTTGCAACCCTCAGGGGCCTTGCCTCGTCTCATGCCTTCCGACCTCTGCCGCCCCCCAGCGATGGCACTGTCCCCGTCACGACGACGCTGCGAGACCCCCTCGGGAGGGTATTAGGGGTTCTTTACCCTGATCAGACCTGGTCCAAGACTCGATTCACGCCGTGGACCAAGGCTGACTATGATGCCGGCAACACATCCAATGTTGAAGATCCGGCGACAGATGACGATGTTGGCTCCTACTTTGAAAGGCTCCCTCGATATTTATACTATCCGACCTGGCGCCAAAAGCGGATGGCTGATAGGTTAAGCGCGGAGGATAAGATAGCAGCCTGCCAAGGAGATATTTATGCTGATGCTCCTACTATCACGCACTTAGACGCCCTGGGTCGGACCATTCTCACTGAGACTGGCAAGGGAGTCAACACTCGCCTTGCGAGGGTGGATTATAATCCACGCGGGCAGGTAGGCCGTCTAAGAGACGCCCTGGATCGCACAGTGGAGAAAATGTCATATGATCTCCTCGGACGGCAGCTACACACTGCCAACATGGACCGAGGTCGGTGTTGGCTGCTCTCAGCCACCGACGGTCTGGCACTTTTGTCCTGGTCAGATAAGCAGGCCAGGAAAAGGTCGGAGTATGATGCCTTGCGACGGCTGAAGAGTGTCTGGAGACTGTCTTCCGAGGAGCATGCGGTCGGGATGGAGGTGACCAAAATGACTTACGGCGAGGGGCGGCCTGACGACGCTGCGTCCAACCTTCGCGGGCAGGTGTATCGGTGCCGTGACCAGGCTGGACTTCTTACCAATCGCAAATCCGACGTTCTGGGTGGGTGTACTGTGTCCACGCGGCGGTATGCCAACGAGTACCGGAACAGGTTAGACTGGTCAAGTGTGAAGGACGAGGAGGCGGCGTTAGAAAAGGATGAGCACAAAACCGAGTGTCGATACAAGCTCTTAGCCTGCCTGTCGATAATGTGGCGTCGGATCTTGGGATGACTAGACGGCAGTACAACGTCGCAGGGCGATTAGCGGCTCTCGAGTCGTTTAAGAAGGACGGCACGGGGGCTGCTACATCGTCGACCAAGAGCATCAAGTACAACGCCAACGGCATGATCACCGACCTTATGTATGGTGATGAGAAGCGGTCGACAAACACAGATGACGAGCAGACACAACGTCTTGTGGCCACAAGAACCATTCGCACGATTGATAACGCGGCGCTCCAGGACGTCTCATACACTTACGACTGTCGAGGCAAAGTCGTACAGACAAAAGACACGGCCAAGATTGTTGTCAATGACTCCGATTCGACGCAAGAATACCACTACGATTGCCTCGGTCGGCTTGTACAAGCCACCGGCCGAATCCAAGTCGACTCGCAGTCAAAACATCTTACGTCATACAGCTTCAACGACGATAAGCTTGCTGGTGACTCAAAGACAATTCGCTACACGGAGACGTATGCCTACGACAAGGCAGGAAACATGCTCACCATGTCCAATACCCCCAATACTGCCGGGTACACTGGCTGGACGAGGACATACACATATGCAGAGCAGAGTTGTATCACGGCATGGGAGACAAGTAACAGGCTTACCCGCACCGAGGTGGGCAAAGTGACTGAGGAGTATAAATATGAGGGCGATGCGGGACGGCAAGGCTGTATGACGTATATACCGGGATACAGCCATCTCTCCTGGAATGACGACGATCGTCTGCATTCCTTTTCGACGCAGAACGTTGGTGCGGATAGTGGAAACATACCTGAGATGGCGTGGTATGTCTACGATGCGGAGGGTACGCGTGTGCGCAAAGTGACAGACCGTTACCGCGACAACAACGATAATCAGCCGCGCAAGGACAAGGATATTCAATATCTGCCCATGGGGGACATCTGCCGATCCCATGAGCGTAGCTGACGGATTGAATCTCTTCGCCTATGTCAGGAATGATCCTATCAACTTTGACGATCCGGGCGGCACCATCAAGAATCGCAAATACAACAGATCACTCTCTGAGTCATCAAGCCACGAACAGGCAGCGGGGAGCAGCGGCACATTCTCCAGTCTCCGTGACATACCCGCCGCGGTAGCACGCAGACTTGGGTCCAGCCTCTTTGATGCTGATCCTCCTCCTCCCGTCGCCTCAGGCTTCACCAGACTGTGGCGCGCTACGGATCGGGCGAGAGGTATTGTATTTGTACGCTTCGGTGACGTATCCGCCGTGCGCACGACGGCGATTGGCAACTTTAATCGTCCTGATGAGGCGGCTGCGTACTGGGGCCCTGACGAGAGGCTCGCACGAGACATAAAACAAAATAGCCGCCAGGACCAAATCCAATCCACAATGGCGGAACATAAACTCGACGACCGGAGAAATTCTTGATGGGACAAAGCCGAAGATATAGTCAACCAGACATACGATGAAACGGCGGAGACTACACGAGCCGATGATACGGCGGCGCGGATCATTGCGGAGAGAGCGGCTGAGGTCACAATTGGGGCGGAGACGCCAGTTATCCTTAATTCAAGGTCGACGGTGTTTGAGCTGGAGAATGGACCTGAGATGCAGTATGCTTTCAAGAGAGGTGCTTATGCGAGGTTGACTGCGTATAGGAGCGGGTTGGTGAGGTATCAGGAGGGCGGCCAGGGGAGAAGTTGTTGGTGGAGATGTCAGTTGCTGTGAGAAGGGACGGACTATAGGGTACCGACATTCTACTGAAATATAGGACCTAAATAGGCCTGCTGGACAGGCTCCTCCTATTCTCTATTATGCTAAATCCTCAGTCTAGACATATCCCCCATCTGCTCCCTACATATTGTTGCGGTCAGGGCTCCTGAGCCTAGCGAGCCGCAGGAGGGGTCAGCTGTGTTTAGCCATCCCCGCCCGTAGACAGGAACCACCACGGAAGAATAGTCGGCGCGCAGGCGATTGCTAGAATCGCCTGGCGACCGAGGCCATTACAGAATAATGGGTTCCATGTGATCGTAAAGGATCAGATCACTACGATCAGAAAAATTGAGAGAACTATATCGCTTATACCCTAAAACTAGCAGCTATAACCAGAATAAGCCGCAAAGTCGGAGCGGCCAACTGCTATTGGTCCAGCCCACGCTGCCGGGCCCGCAATCGGGGACTTTGTGGAAAAGCCGACAGCTTCGGACAACCACATCATCATCAGACATCACGCATCATTGCAGCCAAGGTCGAGCACTGTCATGTACACCTCATCCGAGCCATGACCTTCTCGTTTTCAGCCAGAGAGTTTGCCCTGGGCTTCGCTGCCGGGTGTATTGTTACCATTGCACTAGGGGCATTTCTGGCGTTTGCACTTTTTCGGCCCAAGGACATTTACGGACTCGGACATTGGAAGCTCAATGTGAGGACTCCATTCCGATCCCTGTGGATGAATCTTGGATTCTGGTGAGTGGTTCTTTTTGCCACCTGAATGCCCCCTTCAGACACACAGTGAAGCCAAAGCGACCCTACTCATCGCATTCCGCACAGGACAACAGAAGACGGCAGACACATTGACCACTTTGATGTGGCGACGCGGGCTTTGCTGGAGAAGATTGTTCGCGCTGCCGGCCTTGGAGTCGAAAATCAGCCGGCAAGGGCCGCCTCAAAGACCAAGCATTCCGTCGCCGTGTTGGACGTGGGATTTGGGTGCGGCGACCAGACCATTGCGCTCGCAGAGCTCATACAGGCCTCGTCACGGCCACAATTTCGCTACGTCGGGCTTACCTTGAACGCGGAGCAGCTTCAAGCAGCACAGGAGAGGCTCAGTGGAGCATTGGCACTTGAAGGCGGAAGGGAGAATGCAATCGGATTGTCCAAAGGTGCCGTTAAACTGTTCCAGGCGGACGCAGCAAAGCCAGAGTCTTGGAGTAGCGCGGTTCACGCATCTGTGGATAGCCTGGCAGACGAAGCTTTCTCCGAGCGATGGCTCATGGCGTTGGACTGCCTCTACCACTTCTCCCCTTCTAGGAAATCCATCTTTAAGCTTGCAGCCAAGACACTGGACGCAAATGTCATGGCGTTTGACTTGATACTAAACGAGAACGCACCCATGTGGCAAATTATAGCAGTTCGGCTTTTGGGCTTTCTCCTGTCCTGTCCGCTGTATACCTTCTTAACTGAGGAACAATACCGAAACCAGCTTATCGAGTGTGGCTATGACGAGGCGCAAATTGAGATTCGGGATATTTCGGATCATGTGTTTGGTGGTCTATCGGGCTATCTGCGAAAACAAGAGGTTGCTTTGAGCCGTTACGGCATCTCGTTGGCTGGCTACAACCTGACCGGAAAAGTATTTGCTTGGTTTGATCGGACAAGAGTTGTCAAAGCCGCAATAGTTATTGGACGAACAAAGAGGAATGCTTAGTCTCCGACGCAGATGCGAGGTTTCAGAACTGGGTGGACACAACGCATTCCAACAATCTCTTCAGAGCAGCTGTAGTATTTTGTTTGAAAACGAGACGGGTTTTCCGGTCTGCCAGTCGTTGTTGGTAGTAGGCGAGGGAGCGTTGGGCCTCATAGTTCTTGTAGCCAAGAAAGGGGGAATAGCCAATTGGATGGCATATCGGCTCAGAATCGTCGGCTTCCGGGGTATTGTCCATGGCAGACATGTCGAAGATGGTCTTGCCCTAGGAGGCATGCCAGTGAATCTCGGCAAGCATGCAAAGGCTCTCATTCTCATCTCTCTCCATGACAGCACAGCGAAAGCCGGTAGGGCACGCCTTTGCGGTGTTCTGAACAAGCAAGCGTGCCAATACCCGGATCGGAGGCGTGACTAGCTTCTGTCCTTTGCGAAATACGGCTTATAGTGACTGCAGGTGCAGACAGTCGGTGGTCTCAAGGTCATCTCTAGAGCTGGCATATTTAGAAGAAGACCGGTGCCCCAATCTCATGGGTTAGGTAAGTTTATAAAGTCCGAAGATAGGATATGCAAACTTGAACTTCTTCGTGTCGGCGTTAAACTCGGCATTCCCGATAAAAGAGGGTTCTTCCGGTACGGCGCCTGGAAGATGGCGAATATTGGGAGGATTGGTGGCGATGTAACTGTTGACGGCGCGGTACATGATTAGGGGCAAGCACCCATAAAAGAATTTGTGCATGCTGCTACTCACGTCATTCCTGGCATCCCTTGTTTCTCGGTGTCTCAAGAGTCTCGTATAACCGTCGCTTCTCTATGCCATTTGGCAGTTTGTGGCTCCGAAACCGGTGGTTCTTTGTCTTGTTGATCATATGTTTGAGATGCTCAGGCCGCATGGCAAGAAGCACATCCGTTTCAACGCTGTTCGATGTAACCATTCCAACACCAGGAAGACCTCTGTTCAAAGACGGGGCGAGTGGTGTCTGATGGCTGAGGTAGTTCTATTTCGGAGAGACAACGGCCAACTTGGACTTTTGACATGCAAACTTCGATTTCGATTGAGCCACGAGCTTACTCAAACCTTGAATACAAGTTTACTCTAGCAATGGAGATGCGATCGAGCAGACCAACGGAAAACGATGGATAAACTCCAAGGTAAAATGAGGTACGCAAACTAAACCCTACGGGCCACTATCTTGCTGCAATAAGTTCAGAGTGCTTGTATGCGAATTTGCAACAAGGAATTGCCACGTGGCCGGCACAATGACACCTGTTGAACCAATTAGTAACAACGCTGTATATGTGCCTCTGGTGGTGCAGCAGGCCGCTGTTATGACTCTCGAGCGCCAAGCGTTGGAAATAGTCGGAAGAAGATTTAAAGGTACAGTTGGGCTGCTTTGCTCGTGGCAGCGTTCCCAGCCGCACTAACTGGTTTATGTCGACAGACAGAGGGCGGCGTTGCTGCACCTCAAATGAGAAGTCGTCAGCGGAATCAACTTTGTCGGGACCCTACGAAAGAGTTGAAAGCTTGAGTAAGATATCCGCAAACTGTCGATATAGCACCTCCAATTTCGGCTGGCTTATCCAGGGCGTCAACCATGTCCATTTCACGGTGAATGTATTCCATGACGATAAAGGGGCCCGATCCAAGGGAGCTTCCCCCCCTTGTCCCCGGGCTTATTACAAGCGGAACCGGTATCAGAGCTCATTCGGAATGCCCGCCGCGATGTTTGACGATGAAATTCGCAATAGCTCCATCGTGTCTGGTGCAAACAATGACTTTTTCCACTCGTCTTCGATACGCTCACTTGCCTCCCACGACGCATCGTCATGCTGCATCCGCGGTCGCATTGTAACTCAAGAGTGAAGCACTGCCTGGCCTGTACCCAAGGCTGCAATGCAAAGGAGGGAACATTGAACAGTCCTTGACTCCTTGTTGTGGTTTGCAGGTGTTCAGAGGGAGTCACATGGTCCAGCCGAGATTTGTAACACCCTATATAGAGGACTGTAGACAGGTTCATTGGATTGTATTGATCATCCTCAATCGCCTCAACGGCAGACGCGCTTGGCAGGCAGTAGCACCAACCCTGGGCAGCCAACCAATCCAGGGTGTTGATGTTCAGAGTCTCAGACGATAGAGCCTGTGATGAGCGACCAAGTATCGAAAGAAAGGCCGTCATGTTGTGATTAGCTTCGGGGTGGGCGGAATTCCATCCAGCATGAGCATACAACCTAGTACTGCTCTTTTGGAGTAATTTATATCAAAGTAAAATATCGCCGACTGGCAGCGTTACAATTGCAACCCCACGCACCGGCTCGGCTCGGCCCGCCCTAGCGCCACGGCCGGACAATCTCCCAGTTTGGCATGTACTTGTCACCAAAATGTGCAACAATCAGCTACACCACATGCAATCCCCTATTTGCGGTATTGGCTGCAGTCTGTTCGGGCTGTTTCCAGGAGGCGATAAATGCCCACTATGTGGCATCTTGCTATGTGACCTGGCGATATGCAAAACTCATGGCACCCAGCGCCCCTAGTTTCCGGCGTGACGACGTCCATACAACGAGAGGGCTTGTTCGCAACAGTTGCGCGTACCAAGGGACAGACGCTCGCTAACATATATTAGTCTCCAAGCGAGTGCTCGCCACAGGTAACTTGGACTACCATAATTGGAGTAGACGCTTCCAGAATCCTGATTAGTTGAGTCACCGCAGCTGCCACAAGCAACGAGTAAAGCAACCGACGCGATCCGCCGATATTGTCAGACCTCCCGGACTTGCAACCTTTCGAGAACCTTACTTGCGCCACGGGGGCCTGAACTTCTGGCTCAAGAGAATGCAAAGTCAACCACGCCAAGAGTGGCTGCACGCGTCGCCTCCGTGAGTACGATGTCGTGGGGAGTTGGCGCATATGGTCCACGAAGGAAACCATTCGTCAATGATGAAGACGAGAACTGGTGTAAAATGAGTGTAAATGTTGACCGTGTTGTTGTGAAACTGGAAGCAAGCTGTAAAGAGAATCGGCAATACGGCCAGAGGAGTGCACGGTATCCATGCCGACGAATTCATTGTGCCCATTCTGGGGGGGCATTGGGAGACAAAGACGGCGGATGTAATTTGCCAATACCCTTTTCATCGCGTTGTGGCCTGGTGAGGCACGTCGTTATTTGTCCCAACGTGCATGGGCAGAGATGACGGATGCGGAGGGAGGAGGCAATACCCTCTGATATAGCACATGTAACAGAAGTGATGATTTTCTTATTAGAAGTTCGTTACTGAGTACGTACCTACTTTGATCCGCATGTTCCAAGGTGTGCGGCACCGAGTGAATTTGACAACGCCACAGGCCGAGAATCCTCCTCTGATGAGGTGGTACAACTCGATCTACTCATCATATGGCAGTTAGGGAGTATCAAGTAGCCCAAATATTTGTAGTGGCTAGATTACGGTTCGTAATTTGCAGGCTGAGGCTGACAGTATGGTATGACAAAACGTTCGTCATACATTTGCAGGTTACTCAACATCCAGGCCTCTGACACGGTCGCAGTCCACTGGACTGGTCAAGAAAGACCGGCCCAATAGCTTATGCTCCTGGCTCCTGGCAAGAAAGTATGAGAAACTCAAATACCCTTGCACCGCCTCTCAGAAAGCACTGGTCCGCGACGTGGGATGTTTATCAGGCTTCATCTACCAACTTCAGCTCAGATCGCACTCCGAGGAAACCATGTCGACGAGAACGTTTGTTGCCATTTACATGCGTTTCAAAAACATATACTTCTAGTCCCGGGGTTTGGACAGCTTATGAATGCCCTGTCACATAACATGAACACGGTTCCTAACTCAGTGGTACTACATCAGTACCGGAGCACTCAGGGAAATAGCGCCGAGATGACCTCGTCACTTGAGGCGTAAAGGATCCAACGAGCGCATCCACGACGCTGGGCGCGTTCTTTCGGGAAATTCCAAAGGCAATGGTGCATAATGGGAGTGCCCTCAGAGATTCTGGCCTTGATGGCGTCTTATTTTATTCCCCTGTTATCCAACGCCATGGAAACCACATGGATATTCGATAAGAGACATGAGCAATGCCACAAGATGCATACCACATGCGTTGGCTTGGTCCAGGTCTACCTCTATATGTTCAGTGTCAGTCAGCGAGATCGACAAGACGAGGCAACGTACCATGGCCTTCTTCAGTTGCCCGGTTCCCCAGAGCTTCGCACGCCTTTTGCAGCTGCTGGATATCATGACTTTGGAGCCTTGGGCCTTTGCTTATTTTCAAGCGTTCCATTTCGACTAGCTGTTGGTGGTATTCGGTCGTCAATATCCAAAATACCATTTCAGATTCGGCTCAAGGAAGCAGTAACAATTGAAGCCGATCGACAAGAGGTAGTCGACGGAGTTGAGCTTGAAACAATGACACAATGATGAAACAAAACCCGCGCCACACATACAAACGATTTCGAGATGCCATAGTGCTTGAACTCCCGAATTGGGTGCATTCAAAGGGCCAGAACGCTCTAGAGTTTCAGAGTATTGCCTTATAGGTTTGAGCTTGGAGCATCTTTCCCTTTCGCCATGGCGTACTCTACATACCGGGAGGGAAAGGGCATTTAAACAGAGCAAATACCACGTCATGGCGCGTTAGACCAGAGTATTGTTATCTAGCGTTTACATACTGCTTGTGTCACAGACTATTATATGCGCGGCTGCAAGACTGTGCCTGATTGCGGAAACACGCATATGTACGTCGCAAAGTGTTTGATGAGATGACATGCATGTCTCCCTTTGTTTCACGCAGGGTCGTCGTGTTTCTGACGGGAGCTTGCGAGATGGCCTGGTCGGCTGATGGGGCATCGAGCCCCGTCCCATGGGCACCTTGTCGCACCTTGCGCCGGCCGTTTGCAAAACGATTGTGTCCTGCCGGTTCCTCGGAAGTAAGAACCCAGACACAGTTCAAATTTTTCCCACGCCGGTTGCGTCTGTGTGCCTGGTGCCTGGATCCAAGA